GACTGAAGCACGAGAGACTTATAATCAGGAAAGTGGCCAACCATTTAATCTCTGACCTTTGGTCATCACCATGGAGTAGCCAATCAGTGACCTGGAATTCAATTTCAGACATGTTTGATACAAGTTATCTCAGATGGGTTTCTCCCTAACAGGTGTGTTAGAATCTGCTATGGTGGATGTGTACATATTTTCTTGAGAACAGTGCACACCCGAGTATAATGCGCACCCCCCTCTAGTGGATTCAGTATTTTTTATTTTATTTTTTTCGAATATTATGCGCAGAAAAAAAAATTACACTGTACCCCTCCCGTGAATTCAGGTAAACGAACGGGTGATAAAAAACTTGGTCAGTAGAAATTTGAAATTTGAGATATGTTGCTAAAACCTCTTTCCTGATACAAAGTGATAGACCAGTAGCTCCTTGTCTGATATGCGAACATATGCTTTCCCTCACCAGGATTTAGAGTCTGTGGATACTGATGATATTTGATTTGCTTACACCAGTTGATGTAGCACCCAAAGTATCTGTGGTGTCCCGTTGTGATATGGCTGCAGTGCGGATCGAGACTGCTAGATCTCACTCATTATCTCTTGCTCACACATCCATTATGGCCGGAGCAGAGACAAGAGTTTGTACAACTTCTCTTGAGGAAACATCACCTATTGGTGGATTTCATTGAAGAATGTCTCATAAGGATTAAGTTTCCAACAGGAAGATCAGGATCAGGGGGCGGTTGCGTAGCCCAGTGGTTAAAGGGTTGGCTCGTCACGCTGAAGACCCAGGTTCGATTCCCCACATGGGTATAATGTGTGAACCCCATATTCCGGTGTCCCCGGCCATGATATTGCTGGAATATTGCTAAAAGTGGCATAAAACCATACTTATTCACTCACTCAGGATCAGAATGTGACCATGTCAAGAACACTGATACTGTTCTGTTTCAGCTTAAAGTTACCAAGTCAAGAATATGATGATCCACTTGTTATTTTAAGTACATTGTGATGCTGCTTTCCTAGTATTCTTCAGGCTGACAACTATTCATGATGAGTTTGTGCGGTAATTTCACGTGAGATCTGACAGCTTCATACCGATTTCATCACCATTTTTTGAGGTGTGACTGTTTCTTTGCTGTGGTAAAATATCATTTTCCGAGGCTGTTATAAGACGAAGTATGAGGTAAACACTATCCCCATCTTCCTGTCTCCCCAGGGCTGCTGATAATGGCATGTGCGCTGGCGACACAGATTTCGGGAATTGCTGCCTCTCGGAACCTGCATCATGAAGTGATCGTGTCTCTGCTCAACACCCCTCTTTCATACTTTGACCAGACCCCAATCGGCCGAATTATGAACAGATGTTCTGATGACATTGCTGAGATCGACCTTGTAATGCCCTTCACAATAAGGTCAATGTTCAATGTCATATTGGGCGCTGTTGGAATGTGTGGCATCATCTTGTACACGACACCCCTCGTGGCTGTGGCCATCCCAGTCCTTGTCATTGTCTATGTCCCCATCCAGGTAGGACAGAGTTATATGTGCATGTGGTCAACATGTTGAGTCAAGATGATTGCAGGGCTGGTTGGTTGGGCTGTAACACTAGCTAGAGCTGTCTCGGTGTTGTAGGTTGGACATTACATTGATGGATCCAGTAATTACTCCCTTGTGTCCGGTCACTTTGGGTTAGATTGTGTAAAATCGGATATTATTGCCTATGTTTTTGACTAACTTGGAGCCCGAGGATGCTTGTGTTTCCTTATTGTGGTAACGGAAACTGTTTGGGGGGATTATATTGTTCATGGTCATTTATGAATCTATGAGTTCTTGGGGAACGAACATCTGACAAAGGAAAATGTTTAGGGTGAAAGACTTTATTCTTGTAAATACTGCGCTTGACTGGTGCTCATTCTTTTCCTAACCCATGCCTTTGTAACCAGGGGCTTCTTTTATGAATTCAGTATCACGACTACTAAACATAATGCTTAACACTTCTGAAGTTGTGAAATGTGAAAAGCTCTGTCTGAAGGATGTGGAGAAAATACAAGATGAAAATGAGGAATAGGCAATATTTGTAATCAAGATTATGGTTGTAAAATGTTTTGACAAATTGAAAGCTTTATTATGAATGCTGCCGTGGTAAATCAGAGGTTTTAAATCACAATAACAACCTACAAAACAGCAGCTTTAACGAAGGTATTACAGTGGAAACTAATATTCAAAATGTGAGATCGGTATTTATGAAAAATTACTTATTTTATCTCACTGTCCTTCAGGAAAAAGACTGTCATATTAGAATATATTTTTGGTGTAAAAAAGAGTTGAAAGATAAATTTCGTGGTTTATGCTGACAGAATGAAATATTTATATACAACAGATATATTATTCCAGAATTTAATTGCCCACTATTAATGGTGCATATAACACACGAGTGCGTATTATACGTGAATAAATAAATCTTGTGTACATTGATCAATCGGAAGGGGTGCTAATTGGGATTGTTCACTTGTCAGTATATTAGCAAATATCGCCATGGGCGCTTATTAGAACGGGGCACTTATTACGTCGAATACGGTAAATGTAATAATTAATAGTATTTAGCTTTTTATAGTATTTTCACCACATTCGGATAAAACATTTATCTATAACAAAACATGATATCTATATGAATGTAAGCAGTTAGCATGCAGTCAATTCACTTTGTTTTTTCATATCAATGACTTTATCATTTTAAGCTTCTCTGCTTGATATCAGCAATAATATACGTTGCTTAGATGCTGCCATGAGCAACATTTGTAGTTCCTTGTGCACATCCACCACACCTCGGGCAACACTGGCCCAATCATCTTAAGCCTATTGCTGTGCAACTCTTATTCAGCATGCCAGAATCCTGTGATTGTGGTTCAAATCCTATTTTTGTCCTGATCATGATATATTGTTCGACAGCAGCATACTCACGTTCATGGGTTTCCCTGAAATGCTACCCGTGAAGATCCGGGGTAGAATAGGTCTTGAGCAACCCATGCTTGCCATAAAAAGCGACTATGCTTGTTGTAAGAGGCGAATTGCAGGTCATAGATCCCAATTGCGTGGATCGATGCTCATGATATTAATCACTGGATTGTCTGGTCCAGACTTGATTATTTACAGACTGCCGTGATATAGCTGGAATATTGCTGAGTGCGGCGTTAAACAACGAACCAACCAACCAACCCTGAAATGGCATCCTGCATCATTTCAGGTTTTCTTCCACATTAAGGTGATGTACAGTGATATAAATTAAATACTGTTCAAAGCACCTTAAAAGCTTTATAACCTTGGGAATTCTGTTTGGGCATGAGGTCAAGGTCACAGGATAAGTCACAAGACATAAGTTGCACGATGTTTGTGGTTACACTTTCTCAAATAGTACCATGAAACTTTGTATATTTCTTGTCAAGGATAGGTCCTGCTTTGAAAAGTTTTAAGGTCAGTGTAAGGTCAAGGTAACATTATGTTTGTGAAACAAGTTGCATCAGATTCTAATGCATCATGACGTCTACAGGCAAAGACTTCATCCGACTTCATAAGTGTCAATGACATGCCTTTCAAAGATCAAGATCATCCAAGGTCAATAAGAAATTTGTTACCGGTAATAGTGTGGGTAATATTTATGGCTAGTTATATTTGTACTGCACCTGTTAGCTTTGGATATTTTTCATTCCTAAGAACTCGTGACTGTTTCAACATGTCACACAAGTACTTGGTCCTTGCATAGTTTAGACATTTGCTCAATATTTGGAACACAGGTCATAAGACCTCCTGAATGTTCCTTCATATCATTGTGTGATCCGAGTCTCTTTGTGAATTCCAATAAACATCAGCATATGCTGACAATAAGAATATGTCCATATCATCTAACTTATCCATGGGGACTCTAGGTTAGAATAGGTCCCAAGCAACCTATGCTAGTCGTAAGAGGTGACTTACGTATCCATGGGAACTCTAGGTTAGAATAGGTCCCAAGCAACCTATGCTAGTCGTAAGAGTTGACTTACGTATCCATGGGAACTCTAGGTTAGAATAGGTCCCAAGCAACCTATGCTGGTCGTAAGAGGTGACTTACGTATCCATGGGGACTTTAGGTTAGAATTGGTCCCAAGCTACCTATACTGGTTGTAAGAGGCAGCTTAACGTATCCATGGGGGCTGTAGGTTAGAATTGGTCCCAAGCAACCTATACTGGTTGTAAGAGGTGACTTACGTATCCATGGGGACTTTAGGTTAGAATTGGTCCCAAGCTACCTATACTGGTCGTAAGAGGCAGCTTAACGTATCCATGGGTGCTCTAGGTTAGAATTGGCCCCAAGCAACCTATACTGGTTGTAAGAGGTGACTTACGTATCCATGGGGGCTCTAGGTTTGAATTGGTCCCAAGCAACCTATACTGGTCGTAAGAGGTGACTTACGTATCCATGGGGGCTCTAGGTTAGAATTGGTCCCAAGCAACCTATACTGGTCGTAAGAGGTGACTTACGTATCCATGGGGACTTTAGGTTAGAATTGGTCCCAAGCAACCTATACTAGTCGTAAGAGGTGACTTACGTATCCATGGGGACTCTAGGTTAGAATTGGTCCCAAGCAACCTATACTGGTCGTAAGAGGTGACTTACGTATCCATGGGGACTTTAGGTTAGAATTGGTCCCAAGCAACCTATGCTGGTCGTAAGAGGCAGCTTAACAGATCCATGGGAATTGCTGGTTAGAATACATCCCGGCAATCTATGTTTGTTGTAACAGGGGACTCATAGGATCAGGTGCTCAGCCTGGTGATTTAGTCGATAGTGTGTCATCATACCCAATGATGTGGATTGATGCTCATGATGTCAATGACTGTGTTGCTTGGTCCTTAACTCAATTATTTACCATTGCTGAGTACAGTTCAACAAATAAAGAAAAGATTATTGGACCTGTGAACATAAGACATTACTCTGTTAACATTGCCTCCATCTTTAATTTCTGCAGGTCTCTTCATATTTTTTGGAACACTGATTCGTACAATTGGGGCAAGAGATGCATCCAAAATTCTGCATTTGAGTTTCCTAAAGAACATCTTGAAATCACCCATGAGCTTCTTTGATACCACCCCACTGGGTCGAATTGTGAACCGATTCAGCAAAGACGTGGACGGCATTGACGTGACGATCCCCTCGGTTGTCCACATGTGGCTGTACTGCCTTCTGCACGTGTTCAGCACCCTGGTGGTCATATCCATCAGCACCCCGCTGTTTCTCGTTGTCATCGTCCCTCTGATGTTTCTCTATTACTTTGTACAGGTAATTGGTTGTATGGAAAGTAGTTTCGATTGTTTAAGGTGGCTTCTCTAATCATTATGGTTGCATTTTTGATTGAGTTTGTACATTTGTTTTAATGCCATGGTGCATGGTTGTTGTGTTTTTATTATTTGTGCATGGCTTATTCATATTTTTTTTGGTCTTGTTCACATTTTCTTTGCTTTTCATTTTGTTTTTTGTTTGCGTATTTTCTAACAATTACTTCACTTCACTTCAGTTATTAGATTGAATAACCTGTAAAATGTTACATGTAGTTTGCTGAGTACACTAAGTGTATCTGTGTACATGTATATAATATGCTGACATTTCTTGCCACACGCTGCATACACAGAAATAACGATGCCAATCTCCATGTTTAGTGTCTTGTGGGTTATGGGTTGCACTGTTTCGTGGTTAAGGTGTCCACTCATCCCCCCAAATACAAGGGTACCCCACAGGGGCACAATGTGTGGTTAAGGCCCCATCTCATCCCCCCAAACACCAGGGTACCCCACAGGGGCACAATGTGTGGTTAAGGCCACATCTCATCCCCCCAAACACCAGGGTACCCCACAGGGGCACAATGTGTGGTTATGGCCACATCTCATCCCCCCAAATACAAGGGTACCCCACAGGGGCACAATGTGTGGTTAAAGCCACATCTCATCCCCCCAAATACAAGGGTACCCCACAGGGACACAATGTGTGGTTAAGGCCCCATCTCATCCCCCCAAACACCAGGGTACCCCACAGGGGCACAATGTGTGGTTAAGGCCACATCTCATCCCCCCCAAACACCAGGGTACCCCACAGGGGCACAATGTGTGGTTAAAGCCACATCTCATCCCCCCAAATACAAGGGTACCCCACAGGGGCACAATGTGTGGTTAAGGCCACATCTCATCCCCCCAAATACAAGGGTACCCCACAGGGGCACAATGTGTGGTTAAGGCCACATCTCATCACCTGAAACACCAGGGTACCCCACATTGACACAATGTGTGGTTAAGGCCACATCTCATCCCCCCAAACACAAGGGTACCCCACAGGGGCACAATGTGTGGTTAAGGCCACATCTCATCCCCCCAAACACCAGGGTACCCCACAGGGGCACAATGTGTGGTTAAGGCCCCATCTCATCCCCCCAAACACCAGGGTACCCCACAGGGGCACAATGTGTGGTTAAGGCCACATCTCATCCCCCCAAACACCAGGGTACCCCACAGGGGCACAATGTGTGGTTAAAGCCACATCTCATCCCCCCAAACACCAGGGTACCCCACAGGGACACAATGTGTGGTTAAGGCCACATCTCATCCCCCCAAACACAAGGGTACCCCACAGGGGCACAATGTGTGGTTAAGGCCACATCTCATCACCTGAAACACCAGGGTACCCCACATTGACACAATGTGTTGTTCATCCACAATATAAGCAAATAATGAGATAGATTATAGATTGCCAAATATGAATAAACAGATTGCCACTCACTCCCTAACTGCATTTATCATCTTAAAACCACATTGTCTATTTTCTACTCTCCTACACAGCCTGTATCTAATGTGAAGTTGCCCTCTGCACCAAGTCCATGGATGTCCCATGATGCATCTTGCCTCCGCCGGCATCCTCCATAGCAGGACTATGTAGGTCAAGGTGACAGAACATGTCCAGAAATCTGGAACTTATGTTAACGGAATCGTATTACTCTTCATTAATGGAAAATTAAGATCTCTTTTCAACAAAATTACATCTGTTCACCAATCATAATGCTTGTAAGCACTTCTGTTAATCTGAAATTATCATCCACCCAGAGATAATTTTTTGCCGATATGTTTTAGGGATAGATAAAATTATTCATTGAATTACATCCTCGTACTCGATACGTATTTGGCGTATTGTTACCAGTTGTTACTTTCTGTGTTCGTTCGTACTAACAAGGTCCCTCAAGCTTGGTGTGTTTGTTCTTGTCGTTGTCAGTACTTTATATGTTTGTACACACTACGTTCCTCCATCACCCATACATACATGCAGCCACTTCGCGGTGTTAGAATGACGTGTGTCAATTTTTGGTCAACTATTAAAATGAGGTCGCTTATGACTCGCAGAAGTCAAGCGGGACCTTTTCTGTGCAGGAACATTATTTAAACTATGCCGTTGCCTGATCATGAGACAATGTGAAGAGCTGATGGCCGCAAGGCTGAGGCACTCAAGGCATGTGTCTAGACCTGCTCGACCGCCTCCGTAGCCTAGTGGTAGAGCATCCGCCTGGAGAGCGGAAGGTCCGGGGTTCGATCCCTGACCGCGTCATACCCAAAGACTCTAAAAGATGGTACTTGTTGTTACCCTGTCTGGCGCTCGGCATTAAGAGGCTAAAACAAGGACTGGTCCGCTCGGAGTCAGTATACTGTGTCTGAGTGGGGTATTCATGTTAAACTGCGGCATGGTATCTCAGTGAGCTAGCACTATAAATCGGCATCAGTCTGGATTAGTACAAGCAGCCACACAAACACACACACATACATGCACGTCGCTATATAAGTGCAATAATCTTGGACCCGACGTTAAACCCCATTTCACCTCACCTCTACTCCTGCTCAGAGGCCAATATTCGGCCCCCCTCATGATAATATCAATACAACTAGTAACTAGTGTTATGGCTTGGTCACGGTGACTTGAATTTCACTGATAACAGGACCAAAAGGAAGCTGCTTTAATGCATAGTTCTATATTATTGCAGTGAATATAATCTCAGTATTCAATGTTAGCAGACATCTCAATTTAAGAAAGTTAAAAAGTTTTTAAAAAAATTGAAAAGATTAACAATTTTTTCCCAATTTGCCTGGCAGGGGCACTTAGTTGCACTTAGTTGAGGGTCCTAGACAAATCACAGGATGTAACCTGTGTGCTGATTGGTCAGAATACGTGTTAGTTTTACTTGTGCTGGAAACAGGCTGTGGCTGAAACGCGAAGCTAACGTATGTATTCATAGGTATTAGGGGGCGGTCGGGTAGCCTAGTGGTTAAAGCGTTCGCTCGTCACGCCGAAGACCTGGGTTCAAATCCCGACATGGGTACAATGTGTGAAGCCCATTTCTGGTGTCCCCCGCCGTGATATTGCTGGAATATTGCTAAAAGCGGCGTAAAACCAAACTCACTCACTCACTCTTAGGTATTGGAGGCATGTTGTGTATGCAGAATCTGTGTCAGTTCAGCTCTTGTTTGCTGTATACTTTTTCACTCTTTGTGTCAGAGTGGCATTCTACGAGATCAATGTGAAACGAATTACAAGACTGAATGGATGAGCAGCTTCACAGCCATTTTGATCTTTCGGAATTGTTTCTGAAGCAATTGGTGAGATGCGTGTACTCACAAAGATCGTGATAGGTGTGACTGAACTTGGTTGAAGAATTTATTTATTGTGTACATGGTTCAGGATAAATGCGTTAAAAACATCTAGCGAAACAATACAAGCGTAACAATAAGTCCACAACCCTACAACCCTGTTGCTGTAATACAGACACCATTGTTGTTGATTGTGTTTCGATGTGTTGTGACCTTGTCCATCATGGTCGGTGTCATGTTGTCATGGTGTCAGCTTCAGAAAGTCAAATTAGTTTGAGGTTACGGAGTGTTGATAGATGAGAAGACCTCTGTGTTGCATGTTGTATATCAGCCTTCATGTATCACTGGGTATTTCCTTGTGCTTCCATAGTCTCTTGCTGGCCTTCCATGGTGAATGAACAACTTGCTTCTGTAGCTGCTGCTTGTTTTCTGTATATTCCAGCCTTTTTGTATATTGCCTTATCTGCAGATCTACTGCACCTTTTACTAACACATCCAACTAGTCTTATAAAGACTTAACAAACATTTTCCTTTGTCATATGGTTTTGATAAGTAATTTTGAACAATTACCAGAGCTTGCCGTTATTCTTATAAACTGCAGACTGCAATCATCTTTTCATTGTCTTTTCAAAATGTTTAGTGTGTGAATTAGTTGATTTGTTACTGCATAAATATTTATATTGATTGTGGAATTCTAGCCGTTATTCAAAGAGGTTGTTATTTTTTAAATTCAAGCAATTGAAGAATATGTGTTTTAAGTGGTTACTCTCAAAAAATGAATCGTATTCTGAGAATAATTATTATTGTAACTTAAATTGGATGTCTATCACTGTAAGTCATTATACATGTGTGTTTCGACCTCAGAGATTTTATGTGGCATCGTCCCGGCAACTGAAGCGCTTGGAGTCAGTTAGCCGTTCCCCCATCTACTCCCACTTCGGGGAGACGATCACAGGAGCTGTGACCATCCGAGCCTTCGGACGGCAGAGTTGCTTCATACACGAATCCCAAAATAAAGTGGATGAGAACCAGATTTCCTATTACCCGAGTATCGTCTCCAACAGGTGAGATGTGAAACTAGCGATAAAAATTGGCACTAGTCCTATAGTCCTTGCCAAACTGCCCAATAGTAAGTATCATAAAGACTAATTGAATTTGCCATTTTTAAGGGTTTTGCTTTTTGTTATCATTATAAGGACTAGTAGACTAAAAATGTTAGTTTCTTTTGCTGGAAACAATGTACTCATATTGTCAGCACTGAATTATGATTCCCCCCCCCCCTTCTTTGCACAGAACACTATTGAACCAATGATTGGTGTGATGCCTGGGTTTGATTCTCCACATGAGGACTTGTGATTAACCTTCGTGGTGACAGCCATATGGTTATTACAATACTAACCCTAGTAATGTGTTGGTGTACCGCTTGCTGCAAGAGTCCAGTTGTGTTTGGGTGGTTACAGTGAACAATGTCACTGATAGTGTGTGCCCTGACAGTATGGTTGTGCTTAGGCCATCAACCATGTTTTTGTGACCCGTGAAGATCCTGGGTAGAATAGGTCTCCAGCAACCCATGCTTGCCGTAAAAGGCAACTATGCTTGTCGTAAGAGGCTACGAACGGGATCGGGTGGTCAGGCTCGCTGACTTGGTTGATGCATGTCATCGATCCCAATTATGTGGATCGATGCTCATGATATTAATCACTGGATTGTCTGGTCCAGACTCGATTATTTACAGACCGCTGTCATATAGCTTGAATATTGCTGAGTGCGGCGTTAAACAACAAACCAAACAAAAAGAACATGTTTTTGTGTGGCTAGATTTGACTCTCAATATTGAAACAATTCACATTCAGTTTTTTCTCTCCTTGACGATAGTGATTTATGTCGTCATTAATGTGTCTTGGAAAGTGTTCATTTTATTACCTGGGACAAGAGTACACTATTAATGGTGCTTATTTCAGCCAAATAGTTTAATTAAGAATCCCAGCGGTCTAGTCTCTAAGGTAAGCATTCCCTTGTTTAGTTATTATCATTGGACGATGAGGTTTGACTGAGTAACGTAATGTGAGACTGCTGTTCTTCTGACAGATGGCTTGCAATTCGCCTGGAGTTTGTGGGCAACTGTATCATCTTCTTTGCATCGCTGTTTGCTGTTCTGGGTCGGGACAGTCTCAACCCGGGTATTGTTGGACTGTCGATCTCGTATGCCATGAATGTAAGTACTGCAGAACAACCAATTGTAGCAAGACTTTTAACACTGTCTCAGGGCATAGCATCTCAGGGCATAGCTGTTGAGGACATAGCAGGCCAGGGCATAGAATCTCAGCCATATCATTTCAGGGCATGGCAGCACAGAGCATAGCTGCACAGAACATATCCGTTTTCGGGCATAGCAGCTCAGGGCAAGCTGTTGAGTGCTCGGGATAGCTGCTAAGGGCATAGCAGCTCAGAGCATAGCTTTTCAAGGCATAGCTGCTCAGGACATATTAGCTCAGGGCAAAGCAGATCAGGGCATAATTGCTCAGGACATAGCTGCTCAGGACATAGCTGCTCAGGGTATAGCTGCTCAGGACATAGCTGCTCAGGGTATAGCTGCTCAGGGCATAGCAGGTCAGGGAATAGCTCAAAGCATCGCTGCTCAGGGCATAGCTGCTCAGGGCATAGCTGCTCAGGGTATAGCTGCTCAGGGCATAGCAGGTCAGGGCATAGCTCAAAGCATCGCCGCTCAGGGCATAGCTGCTCAGGGTATAGCTGCTCAGGGCATAGCTGCTCAGGGTATAGCTCAAAGCATCGCTGCTCAGGGCATAGCTGCTCAGGGTATAGCTGCTCAGGGCATAGCTGCTCAGGGCATAGCAGCTCAGGGCATAAAGGCTCAGGGCATAGCTCAAAGCATCGCTGCTCAGGGCATAGCTGCTCAGGGCATAGAGGCTCAGGGCATAGCAGCTCAGGGCATAGCAGGTCAGGGCATAGCTCAAACATCGCTGCTCAGGGCATAGCTGCTCAGGACATAGCTACTCAGGGCATAGGTGTTGAGGACTAGCAGGCCAGGGCATAGAATCTCAGCCATATCATTTCAGGGCATGGCAGCACTGAGCATGGCTGTACAGAACATATCCATTTTTGGGCATAGCAGTTCAGGACATAGCAGTTCAAGGCATAGCAGTTCAGGGCATAGCAGCTCAGAGCATAGCAGTTCAGGGCATAGCAGCTCAGAGCATAGCTGTTCAGGGCATGGCAGCTCAGGACATGGCAGCTCAGAGCATAGCAGTTCAGGGCATAGCAGCTCAGAGCATAGCTGTTCAGGGCATAGCTGCTCAGGACATAGCAGTTCAAGGCATAGCAGCTCAGAGCATAGCTGTTCAGGACATGGCAGTTCAGGACATGGCAGTTCAGGACATGGCGGTTCAGGGCATAGTGGTTCAGGGCATAGTGGTTCAGGGCATAGTGGTTCAGGGTAAACTGCTCAAGAAGTAACATGACATGTTTTTCTTATGCTTAGAAACCTCATTTTGTTTCAACACACATACTACTATGTTGTAAAGGCCATGACCCATTACACATTCTGACTTCAGTATGCACCAGCATATTGTATGGGCTATTATTGTTATGTACACAGGTGACACAGACCCTAAACTGGATGGTGAGGATGACGTGCGAGCTGGAGACGAACATTGTGGCCGTTGAGAGAATCAAGGAATACACAGAGACCCCAACTGAGGTGAGACCACAGTCAACTTTGTGTAATAGTTATCATATAACATCAATAGTAATCATATAACATCAATAGTAATCATATAACATCGATAGTAATCATACAACATCAATATTAATCATATTGCATCAATAGTAATCATATTGCATCAATAGTAATAATATAACATCAATTGTAATAATATTACATCAATAGTAATATTACATCAGTAGTGATCATATTGCATCAATAGTGATCATATTGCATCAATAGTGATCATATTGCATCAATAGTAATCATATGACATCAATAGTAATAATGTAACATCAATAGTAATAATAATACATCAATAGTATCATATATAACATCAATAGTAATAATATTGCATCAATAGTAATCATATAACATCAATAGTAATAATATTGCATCAATAGTAATCATCTTACATCAATAGCAATCATCTTACATCAATAGTAATAATATTGCATCAATAGTAATCATCTTACATCAATAGCAATCATTTAAGAAATAGTACAAGAATGGCACTCTTGAGATGGAAATTTTATACGTGAGTCTCATGTGTGATTAGCTCCCCTGACTTTAAGGGTTACATGAGCTTGTCATCTCTGAGTTCCTCTTGATGTTTACTGTGGGAACTTTCACTTTCACATTAAATTTGTATCAAGTCCTATGATGCTGATATTTTGTGTAATGATCCCAACTGTGTCTCCAATAGTTGTTCGCTGATCAACCCTTATACATAATCACTGTGGCAGCCATATTAGGATGTTATTTTGCCCGCATTACTCATCCATGTCTGCATGAACCATGAGTAGTATTTGTCCTATCCTTGTAAGTGTTTCGTAGAATCTTACATCGTCTGACTTCGTCTTTGTGACAGTGTATGTTCTTTCGTTGTCAACTCAACTGGGTCTTGTGTATTTCAGGCTCCATGGGAGATAGAAGACAAGAAGCCGGACAGTAACTGGCCAGTCTCTGGGAAGGTGACCTTTGACAACTATCAGACACGCTACAGAGATGGCCTTGACCTTGTCTTGAAGGGAATCGACTGCAGTGTCAACAGTGGGGAGAGGGTGAGATACTTAGTGGCATGGTGTCCTTGGTTACCTCAGTAAGGATAAGATATATGGATGAACATCTTCTCTCTTACAATTAGGAGCGACATTTCAGTGTAGGTTCTAACGCTGTTAGGAAGCAAGTGATGTGCAGAGTATGGTTGACAAGAATGTTTCAATGTATAAATATGATTTGTAGTGCAACCTTCGACTGTCTCAAAATAGACATTCATTGGAACCAGGAAAAAATGTTGGTTAAAATAATATGTATCTATGTCATAGTATTCAAACAGTTTGTTGTGTATAATGTTGGTTTAGACAGAATGTAAGGCCATTTAGTTGTCTCCCTCAAAACCTATTATACCTGTGTCTGTAGGATTCAAGTGAGACCTGTGAAGATCGGGGGTAGAATAGGTCTTCATGAACCCATGCTTGCTCTAAAAGGCGACTATGCTTGTCGTAAGAGGTGACTAACAGGATCGGGTGGTAAGGCTCGCTGACTTGGTTGATGCGTGTCATCGTATTCCAGTTACGTGGATTGATGCTTATGATTTCAATCTCTGGATTGTCTGGTCAAAACTCTATTATTGACAGACCGCCGTCATATAGCTGGAATTTTGCTGAGTGTGGTGCAGGGCTCTCGATAACTTTTTGAGCAATTGAGTTTTTACTCGAAGGTTTTTATTTTCATTGGGTTATTACAATTTTCATTGGGTAACCAATATTTATTACTCATCTCTTCATTACTCTATTGGGTTTTACCCAAAATGAGTACACATTTTGAGATTTTCCACCCAAAGATACGGTTTTAGATGTATGTAACGGTTCTAAATATAGGCTTGACTCAGATTGTAACTTTGCTCATAACTGTGTTTCGGAAATTAACTCTGCTGTACGCATGCTGAAAAAGCTTTATTGGGTATTGACACATCGTGTTTTTATACATTTGAGTTTTTCATTTAATGCATGAGTTTCTGTAAGCAAGTTAATTGAAAGTAATTGGGTTTTGAATGTTTTTGGGAGGTATTTTACGCAAATACGCAGCTTATCTGTAGCTGTGGCAGCATTAAACCAGAAACAAACATACAAACAAACAAACAAACAACATACATGTGAGGAAGCAGAGACACAACAGTGGCAAACGTAATACTGTTACAGTCTAACACCGTGGTGTCAAACTTTGATGTGTAGAACTAACAGCTGTCTCGAAGTAAAAGCTTGGTCCTTGCGTATTCCTCCTTATCAATCATTTTTAGTTGTGTTGAACCTCGGATAAGTCAAAGAATTTACTTATTTCCCTTCAACTCGACACAATGGTGTTTGACTATCTCCATGTGAAACATGGCTGAATCCTGAACCTATTTCTTTGTTCTTAGGTCGGCATCGTGGGCAGAACAGGGGCAGGTAAATCTTCCCTGACGCTTGCATTGTTCCGTATCATTGAGTCTGCAGGTGGCAGTATCAACATTGATGGTATTGACATTGCCAAGATTGGCCTACACGATCTCCGATCTAAACTGACCATCATTCCTCAGGTATGTGTTCTCTTTATCACCATTAAGACATGGCTGACAGACGGCCATCTTGGAATTTCCATTTTCACCTGTTATTCTACAGTCCTCCGTATGGCAATGTGTGATATGTATGCACAAAGCCTATAATATATGCAACACTTGTATCACCTGTGAATCCTCTTCACACACATTAATGTGGAATTGCTAGTTGTATCAATCACTGTATGTCATTTTTTTTTAATTGCCAGTTGTATCAATCATTGGATGTAATTTTTTCAATTGCCACTTGTATCAATCATTGGATGTAAATTGTTTTAATTGCCACTTGTATCAATCATTGGATGTAATTTTTTCAATTGCCACTTGTATCAATCATTGGATGTAATATTTTTTATTTGCCACTTGTATCAATCATTGGATGTAAAAAAAATTAATTGCCAGTTGTATCAATCTTTGGAGCTAATTTTAAAATTGCCACTTGTATCAATCGTTTAATGTATTTTTTTAAATTGCCACTTGTATCAATCATTGGATGTAATTTTTTTAATTGCCACTTGTATCAATCATTGGATGTAAGCTTTTGTAATTGCCACTTGTATCAGTCATTGGATGTAAGCTTTTTAAATTGCCACTTGTATCAGTCATTGGATGTAATTTTTTAAATTGCCACTTGTATCAATCGTTGGATGTAATTTTTTAAATTGCCACTGGTATCAATCATTTGACGTAAGTTTTTTTAATTGCCAGTTGTATCAATCATTGGATGTAACCTTTTGTTATTGCTAGTAGTGTCAATCATTGGACGTAATTTTTTTATTTCCCAGGACCCTGTCCTGTTTTCCGGGTCTCTCCGCATGAACCTTGACCCCTTTGACCAGTTCAAGGACGAGGATGTCTGGCGGGCCCTGGAACATGCACATCTAAAGAACTACATAACCTCACTTCCAGAACAACTTCAGTACGAGTGTACCGAGGGAGGGGACAATCTCAGGTGGGGCAGAAAGTACACTCCCATAAATGTTTTCATACTACTATTGTAAACTGATTTGACAGATATAATAGTCTGGAACCAGCAAATATCTACTTACCTGTTGTTTTTTCTACTTACGATTTCTACTACGTTTACAGCTCATTTAAATATTGTGAACTTATGTTATGGTCTTGGTCTGTTCACAAACCGTCCATCCTTTTATCCTCTCTGTTAGACCCCAAGTTAAAACTCCTCTTCTGAAAAAATAATACCATGTCTACATATCATAGTAGCTGTAGAGTTGAGTGATTGAGATGCCACTGACAACAACTGTTTGTTATGGTAGTGTTGGACAGCGACAGTTGGTGTGTCTGGCCAGAGCGCTGTTACGGAAGACCAAGATCCTTATCCTGGACGAAGCCACAGCCGCTGTTGATCTGGAGACGGATGATCTGATCCAAGCCACGATACGTACAGAGTTCGCGGAGTGTACCGTGCTCACGATCGCCCATAGACTCAACACCATTCTGGACTATAATCGGTGAGTGGTGTATATCAGTAGTAGGCAGCCATAGCTGACAACAGTACCGAGGTTTTTTCGCATTTGCTACGTATTACGATCTAAAACTATCATTTCAAAGCTTTTTTTGAATTTGTAATTTCCTCACAATTTACGAAAATATTAACATTAAAAAAATTCACTTCAGCAAAATTGAGATTTTCCCCCAATTTGCCTGCCAAAGGCACTTTGTTTAGAGTCCTTGATAATTACCTGTATAAAAAGAAGACTTTTCCTGAAGACCAGTTGGTTTTACATTCTTTTAGTCTTAACAATGTTTTAAGGTGCCATCATGTTTTCTCAGAATCATGGTTCTGGATGCTGGAAAGATCCGAGAGTACGAGAATCCTCAGGTCCTTCTGCAGGACACCGACTCTATATTTTACGGAATGGCTAAAGATGCAGGTCTGGTATTATGAAGAAGCTGAGTGTCTGAGTGTCTGTCCAACTGGTTCACAGAGGTGCCAAAAGAGTTCTTCGTCTGTGAGGAGGAGGAAGATGTTGAAGAGGTGTTTCAGAAGCGGCGCACGACTGCCGAGTGGCCAGGCTAGGGCTATGTAGTTGGTTCAGAAAACATTGACAAACAATTCCCTGGACCGGTTTCAGCAGCCTGCTTGTTTTCATGAAATAACCTGGCATGTGTCACACTGGTCAAGATGACCTACATTTCAATGGAGTCTTGCATGTTGTGCAAGTTGTGTGGAGGACTTGAAATGGAAGCGAATCGGCTTCCTCCTTCGTTCCTGGTGATTGGTACTTACCAACTTTCAAAAGGGAAGGCACAACAATTCATTGACTGATACGGGTTCCATAAGTTGGAAGTTTATTTCAGTTTTTTTAAATTTATCACCAGTACGCAAGGAACTTGAAGCCAGTAGGTCTTGCTCATTGGTAGAAAAGGGTTCTTTTCAAGTCTGCAGGTGGCCCTTCAGGGCATTAGCAGGATAGTCATTTTAAAGATAAGGAAAGATTTCTCAGTAGCATGTGTTTTGAGGGAGTAACTAGTGTGTATGCTTTGCTGTGATTTTGGAATGGTTTTAACTCCCTTACTGTTGCAGAATAAGGGCTATAACAATGCATTTTGCATCAGCATGATACCTGGTATTTTTAGCACTGTACCCATGCTAGTGGGTTTCATCAAAATTATCATCCTCACCAAGCCATGACAAGACTACACTTGCCTGCAAACAGTACATGCTCGGGCTGGGATTAGTTCAAATTTACTGCCGGGGTACCTCGAGAGTTTAGTACTAAATATCCGATTGACAATTTTTTTACCAGAACCCTGGCATAAGTTGACTGAAGCTTAATCTTAGACATATAATAGTCAGAAAAAGATGTGAACATTAGCAACTGCTCGTGTTACCATGGAGTTTTATTTTTTTTGTCATTAAACAACATATCACGTGACTAACATCAGGTCCAAGTAGTCCCATGGTACCCAGGTCCTACTGACGGTCTACCCGACCCAAGTACCCAAGTTACCAGTCCAGCTAATCCATTTAAGGTGTAGGCTATGGAACAGTGTGAAGTCAGATGGTGGTAACTGACCAATCGGCACTGAGAATCACTAAAATGCACATCTGGTCACTGACCAATCAGCACTGAGAATCACTAAAATACACGTGGTAACTGACCAATCAGCACTGAGAATCACTATAATGCACATGTGCAAATATCAAAAAGTTACTATTTGATTTCTTTTTATATCATTGTATCAAAAGAAATGTGTGTATTGAAGGTACTCGGCTTCTGTAAGTTCTGTACCTATGGTGTATTGTTGGAGTCTGGTCAGTTAGAACATTCTTGTGTCATTTACGCTATGGGACATTATTCGCCAGAGGGAATCTTGTGTGGTGTTTTATAATGCACCTGAGCAGAGTACTTAATCTGATAATCGTATATTTTGTGATAATCCAAATGTTGTGCTCAAAATAGTTTTTGTCACCATTGAAAGTACAAATTTAGCAGTACTGTTGTGTATTTATTGCTATGTCAGGACAGTTCCGAGTTCTATGTGTGACACCGATACAGACATGACATGTATGACTGACAAGCTGTGTGCAGACCTGTACCAGGAAACACATCCCATCAAGCATGCCTTGCAGTGATGTTTTAATTGATTGTATGTTTACTTGCAGAGTCTTCCTCGTTGACACAATATTTAAGAAAAAAACGACAAGTGCACTCCGAATGGTATAATCTCCAAGCAGTGTTTAATTGTACGATAAACAGCGACCACGAGTCGTTTATTTCTTTTTTGAGATATCAACATTATGTACAGCCTCTTTAAGGACCTCAGAAATGTCGCACAAGTCTATTTTATGAACGGGTGAGTTATGTTTGGTATTTCCTGCATATTCTCACAATCCTCACGTCGATTATCTGTACCTTTTCTCCTAATACTGTTTGTAATATGTCTCCCACTTTTGGATGCGATTGTTTGGCCACTGCGTTTATCTGCTACATCAGCCCAGCTACATCTGTGGGGAACAACTTAAAAGACACTTCGGACTTCCTCTCAAAAAAACATTGTTGAATATATGACATCAAGCTGAGAGCGCATATTCGAATCTCCAGAAATGAAATCATGATAGAACAATGTTTTTATCGTGAAATAAACCATGCTTTGTTCTTCATTATTCTTTGCTATATATCTCGTAGCTATCTTATGTTACTTGGTAATGAAATGATTAGCAGAAATAGGAAAGTTACATTTGTATAACATTCATGTAAGGCTAAAAAAATTAATAGTCTTGGTTCTCAGGCACTGCCAGCATCATTTTAAAGTGTGTCGCACGTTTAGTTTTTTTCTCACATTTTTAATAAGATAAAAAAATCCTAATACTTAAAAACAATGCGATCCAATAGAGCATGCAATTCGCATCTTGTGTTATGGTAAGGGCGGCAATAGGAGTTTGTATGCTTGTTTTTTTCCCAGGTTAATGGTAAAATATTTTTATTTGGTTACATACTAGTTTGAACAAGCAAAAAAAAAAAAAACCATTGCCTGCCTGCATGATATTTTCAAAAGTCATTTTCTGAGAACCAATTCTTTTATTTTTTTTAAACCTAATGAACTCAATGGTTTTTGAGAAACTCATCAAATGGAAAAGGTCAAATGTTTTTTTCTGTGTGTTCAACATTAACTCAGTGTTTATGTCCAAGGACTTGTTGAAGATGCTGTAGACTGTAGTAGACATTGCAGTGTAGATGCTATAGCCAGTTTGTAGACATAGCTGTTGTAGATGCTGTAGACATTGCTGCTGTTGATGCTGTAGACATTGCTGCTGTTGATGCTTTGGAACGGTAATATTAATGGTGCCATTGTGTACAGGCCCAGTGGGCTCTGATCCATTTGTCAAAATTGGAGGTTGATGTCATGACGATTGACCGTCTTGAATTGATGAAACTGATCAAAACATGTGCTTCATAAAAGTACCATTGAACAAAAAGTGTTGTGCAATAGCCATGTTGTTCATTTCATGATGATTATTTATTATATTTAGATGTTATATTTTATGTGTTGAACAATGGGAGAGTCCAAAGTTTGGATTAACCCACAAAATACAAATATACATACACAGTTTGTCATCGTACCGAAATGTTTTAAGACTTATGTATACTTGTTTTTATTTACCTACAATTTGAGATTGACTTATACTGATTTATACTGAGGCTGGGGAGGTGGTGAATCAAATCTTGGTAGTGGCTCATCTTTTCTGTCATGTTGGCATAAAGCTTGACAAAAACACAAACTGCTTTAGGATTTCAATTGGAAAAGAGGTGGGTCTCTAAAAAAACATATTATTAAGGGTCGGTGGGGTAGCCTAGTGGTTAAAGCATTCGCTCGTCCTGCTGAAGACCCAGGTTTGATTCCCAACATAGGTACAGTGTGTGAAGCCCATTTTCCGGTGTCCCCCGCCCTGATATTGCTGGAATATTGCTAAAAGAGGCGTAAAACCATAATCACTCACTGAAAACATATTACCTTTTGTTTGCTGTGTACTTGTATCAGCTGGAAGGACAGCCATGACTGAGTGGAATTCATGTGATTTAAGAAAAGATCTCGAGGCCCAGTATGGATTGCATATAAATAACCTTGGTGATGATCATACTAAAGAATTATAATTTGTTCAGGTGATTTAGAACATTTTGTGCAAAGGTTGTATATTTTCATGTACAAAGTTTTATTATGTTTTTATTTCATGTTTTAGACAATGTGCTGTAGCGACAATGATCAATTTCTCCTTCTAGTCAAGGACATCTTTGTAGTCATGGTTTCCATGTAATCCAGGGCACGACTGTGCTGTGCCATGTTTGACTATTGGAATCTCACAACTCATGCATGACAAATAGAACACTACCTCTTCTAGGAAGACATTCTATATTTTCTACATTTGGATTTTCAGCTCTCATCACTGGTGTGATGTTTTGAGAAATATGAACCTGTGGTCCTTTGTAATTGACTCATGTAGCATACAGTCAATCAAACTTAAGAAGATTTGTGGCATTTGTTTTTGATAATCATTTCCTTTGAACTTCCGACATTAAAAGAGTGAATGAGTGAATATTGCTTAATGTGCATAGGGAATTAAACAGGTATTCATTGTCAATGCTTTCTATAAATGAACAGTTAAATGTGAAACTAAAGTCTGTATTTAAACTTTTTGAGCTGTATACATATATTAGTGTGTGTTATAAATGTGTGATTACTGATGATGTTGCCATTCACTGTGTGCCTTCTGTTAATGGACAGTCATTGTTGATTTCCTCATCTAGGAACTGTGGTTTTGTACTCAGTATGCTTGTCTGCTATTAGACAAGATGTATCTAGCCGTCTTGCTCTCCATTGAACATGGACTTCAGGGTGCTGTTACCATGGTTACAGCGAAACCCTGTTAGTCCCCAAGTCGTCTGGTGGAGAACTGTTGGGAACATCTATATGTAAGACAGATGGCTCGTTACAGTGATTCATAAACCTGGACAGAGGTGGGGCAGCCTAGTGGTTAAAGTGTTTGTTCCTCACGTCGAAGGCCTGGGTTTGTTTCCCAATTGGGTAGGATGTGTGAAGCCCATTTCCATTGTCCCCTGACAGGATGTTGGACATGGTTTAAAGCGGTGCAAAACACCGACTCACTGTCACTAGGAATCTGAAGATAAACATGGTTTAAAGCGGTGCAAAACACCGACTCACTGTCACTGGGAATCTGAAGATAAACATGGTTTAAAGCGGTGCAAAACACCGACTCACTGTCACTGGGAATCTGAAGATAAACATGGTTTCAATGTCCAAACATCAGCTTTGAATACAAGTACTTATGGTTAGAAGTGTCAAATATGGATGTGCTGTATATTTTGATTGTTACTTTTGATTGTTGACTTTTACTTTCGATTGTTGACTGTATGTGTGTAAGTAATATAACGGTATGCTGCATTTATGTTCTTCATGCTGCATTTATGTTCATGCTGCACTTATGTTCCCCTGTTCCCAGGAAGTGGTATGGACGAGGCCTTCAATTACAGCGGCTTATATAACAGAATGTCTTCATAATTCAAGGGTAGATCTTATCCACCAGCTCCCTGGTTTTGACCGTAATACATTTAGCAACAATTGACAAATAACTCTGTGCCTTGTATTGTGTGCATCGTGTCATTTTAGCATTGGAAGACTGTACATAAATAGATATTTTATGTAGAAGATTTTGATTTTATGGATTGTATGTAACAGACATGGTTTTGAAAATAGTGTCAACTTTTAGTTTTAATGGCTTAATATTTTCATTAGCCATGCTGCCAAGTTAATTATAGTGCTCAAGGTTTTGGAGGTATTTGATTTTTGCACATACTCATACAGTATGGTGTAGCTTGTGTTTAATTTGAAATGAAAAACCAGTATGATTTGCTAAATTCATGCAACCATGTTTGGATCAAAGGGCTATAAGTGCTGCAAGTGCCCTGTGAAGAGTTGCCTTCCTTAGCTGTGACAGGATCTGCTTGCCATGGGTATGAATTAAGATTTCACCCTCATACTTATCCTTGGTCTGTGAGCTCCACACCAAGCGGGTTACATTAAGATGGCACACAGCTGACCTCGGGAACAAGGGACTTGCCTCCATATTTAGCTGGGATAGGACTGAATACTGTTCAAAACAGCATAACTCGTAATAATGGTCATATAAATAATGCAACAAATCCACACATTAAATCATGTTCAAAGTGCTCATTATTACCCTGGTCAATGGATTAATATGCACTCAATCATTCTCAGCACCCTGGGGAGCATACTCGCATACTGCATCCATGTAGAGGTTATCACTGCTTCTTTAAAAATCTTTCAAAATGAACTTTACTAAATACTATATTTTGCTCAAATATATATGAAATTGTAGTTCAGTAATATAATGAGCTGTTCGACAAGGGTCATTTTTCAGCTGTTGATGTAAGTCCTCACTAAAAGTCCATATTGCCATGTTAATATCAGATTTTGGTATATTTGTTCTTTAATGCTACAACTTAATCCATGGTCGAAATATTTCTTTTGAATTTGTATAATGTTAGCCAATAATACAAACCTATTGAAATTTAATATCTGAATATTGATATAAGGTACACAACATGTAGGCAAATTAAAGAGATGTAGGGCTTATGTTGCCAGCATTTTAAGATTCTCTATGTATATCTTCATACAAAGTCACAATGCCTGCACTTCACACAGCAGGAAAATATATTGGCTCCAATTTATTCCATTTGTAAATCAGACTTATATGACAAACTGTTTTTATCAACATTTAAGACACTGAGATAAGAGAGGTAAGCTTCATTCCAGCTGCGTTCATAGTGATCAGTGAGCTTCTAAAACATGAAAATGCTGGCAGTGACAGCTGCTGCCAGATTCACATTTGTTTCTGATAGGTATGTGTAGTTAGGAACAGCAGGGATGCTATGCTTTTCAGCAAAGCTAATACCGTAATTCCTCAAATAGATGCTGCTTTGGATACACATAGGGTGTAACAGATTCGCGATATGAATAAACGCCTGCCTTGATTAGATGCCAGGTCTAAACATATATTCCTTTAGGTACTCAATATAGTGATATTGAAACAAAAACTGTTATACAAAAAAATGAGAACATTACACGACACTTTCATGGAAATTAAAAGGCTTTATCATAAATGAACAATAGATGCCTGCCTTGAATAGGCGCCAAAATAGATTCAAGGATTTAGGGTAAGTTTTTCTGTGAAATACTCCGAAGCAGCTACAACGCTCCTCACTTATTCTAACATCAGTTTATATTTATTGTTGCTGCTCTTATGCACAAAATGAGCTATTGTTCTGTTTGTCCCGCAACAGCTGTTGTGTTGACATGGACGTTTTCCCAGTGTTAACTGATTTATCATGCCACTTGCCCGATGTTAAGTACTGTAGTCCTAAAGTTGTATGGTCTTGCATTACTGGTACCTTTTGTATTGAGTCTAGTCGTTTGTGCAAGTAGTTTTAGTTTTGCAAGGGAAGACTTGTGGTTTTAGATATTTATTGCCAACAGAATATATAAACACAGTAAACATTTTTGGTCTTGTTAAGCAATACTAGCTAAAACTGAATAAGTTTTACACTAGACCTCTGGACTAGTCTTTAAAAAAACAAAAAACACCTGAATTTCTATGGCTGCAGCAGTTTTCTATTGGGTCACAGACTTATTCAGGGGGGATGCTGCAGGAGGCCCAGTCATCTGAGGCGCCACAATTCACTGTCAAAGTTGTGTCCCCTAGGCAACCAGAAACCTGTGGCTGCTGGTTCTGTGAGCCAATCTAGTAAAACAATGTTGGCCTTTTCAGTAAAACCACCTGATCCAACCAAAGTAGACAACATAGATATCTTTTTTTAATGGATTTTTAGCCCAAAAATTCAGGTTGGTAGGTAAAAAAAAAGGTTCCAATCTTTATATTTTATTTTTTCCCAAAAAAATGTAAGTGAAAAAAATATATTGGGGCCTGTAGTTTTGAAAATGCTGGTAAATTTTCAACAGGTTTTAATTATTGTATTTTATATAATTTATTTATATAGATCATGTAGATAGTTACAGTAAATGAGTTGCTGTTCATTTCTTCTCTTTTTTTCACATTTCAATATTTTGTAGTCGGTGGATTGTAAACCAATTTTAATGAAAAGTCTGGCCTAAGCAATGACAAAAGATATCATGATCAGTGATGAGGAAGAGGCTTAATAGCTGTTATACAGTATTGAATATAAAGTTAGTATATGTTGTTTAAAGACCTCCGAAGTTAAGTAAATAAGAACTTTAAAATAATCCCAGTTTTGAACAAGAGAACAAATATTTTCCCAATTCGCTTCCTAAGGGCTTAGTTTGGAATCCTAGATAAATTCCTGTCCTGATGAAAAGAAGCTGAACACCGAATGTTCTGGTCTTTATTGGCTCCCAATGGAAAAAGTATTGTGTCAGCACATATTGTCAGTTGTTCAGTACGATAGGTAATATTTTGTTTAAATAAACTTTCATTTTGTGGGCAGCATCTTTTTCTGCATCTTTATAAAAGATTATTTTATCAACCTTGAAATAAAGTATTGAGTAGGTATCGACATTAATGTCCGGTTTAAGCCTTGTACATGACATGTATCTGTTTGATGTTATGTTACAAAATAATGAATGTAGTAATGTACTCTTCACATTTTATTCAAATAAAATATTTTCTAAAAATGTGATCGATTGTTGTGGTTGAGGGGCAGCCCATCTCATGCTGGGTGTGGAGTGTGGGTGTGGGGTGTGTGCAGGTAGGTATTTTTGATTTACACATAATGTTTTCAGTGACAAACAAACAAACAGCCAGACATACAACCTTTTTGCTGGGACAACCAAAGGAATGCCAACTGGAGATCCACCTCAGCCTTACCATGGAAACCTGATATACAAGGCGGGGCGGTCGGGTAGCCTAGTGGTTAAAGCGCTCGCTAGTCACGCCGAAGACCCGGGTTCGATTCCCGACATGGGTACAATGTGTGAAGCCCATTTCTGGTGTCCCCCGCCGTGATATTGCTGGAATATTGCTAAAAGCGGCATAAAACCAAACTCACTCACTCACTGATATACAAGGGGTGGCTGAGAAGTTCTGAAGGATGTATAGTACACCCATTACAGTTTGCATGTATTAAGTACTAGGGCTGGGACGAGTCGAAACTTAGTACCTGTATACCCACCTCACTATTACCTGACTCTACCCGGGTACCCGCTGAAGGTCTCAAGAGTTGGGTACAAAATGTTCGATTGGGAATAGTTTGACCGTAGCCCTGGACAAAATGTACTTAGATACGTGTATGAAACAATCTGGTCATGCATACACTGACGTTGACTGAAGTTTCATCTATATTCACACCTATAAAGGCCCTAAGGAATGGGTGCATAGTCAGAAAGAAATGTGAACATTAGTGACTTGTATTGTAACCATAGAGTTCTAGATGATTTTTGTCATTACAAAATATATCACGTGACAAACCACGGGCCCTGGTTGTCCTGTTGGTACCCTGGTCCTTCTCTGTAACCCGACCCAGGTACCCAGGTTATCCGTCCCAGACTTTTGAGTACACTACTGTCCATGCTTGCTGGCTGCATTTGAACCAAATACCTAGCCATTCCATTATAGTTGGGCTCAGATCTTTTCAGACACACCTCGTACTCAGGTCTGGGTAAGACAAACCAGTGCTTCACAGCATGAGCAAAAACAGGATATAATCCCTGTGCGAATAAACTAGACCATTTCAGATTTAAGTAGTGACTGTTTTTACCCTATCTGCCATTGTTGTTTGTTTTAACAGAAATATGCTCAGACTTCAAATGTTATAAACACAGGATTGCATTCAGTTGCCAATAGTAAGATAAGTGATTGTCCCACTCTGCCCCGGCAGTGCCCCAGTGCACTTGGACAGGGGGTGGACTGGGACCAAAATAAATGTTTAACTGGTAATATTTTGGTTAATACCCTTTGTAGCAACGGGGCGGTCGGGTAGCCTGGTGGTTAAAGCGTTCGCTCGTCACGCTGAAAACCCGGGTTCGATTCCCGACATGGGTACAATGTGTGAAGCCCATTTCTGGTGTCCCCCGCCGTGATATTGCTGGAATATTGCTAAAAGCGGCGTAAAATCAAACTCACTCACTCACTCACTTTGTAGCAAGCATGGAAAGTGGCGTCTGAATTGGATTAACCAAAGTTAGAACTACAATTTGAGACAATGTCAAACTGGTTTCCGTCACTTTCAGAACCAATGAAGGGTGTAAAACAAGAGATATTGTTTTTTAGAAATTCGTCTTTTCCAAGTGAACATTGGATGGGGGAAGGTTTATATGTTATAGCTCACTTGGAAAAATGATCAAGCCAGTCAGGCAATGTATGTAAAGTGTTAGTGTTAATCCTTCACCAACCACATATAATTCGTTAGCATGCTCAGATTATTCGATCTTGATTGACTATAGTATAAGGATCTATACCGAAAAGTTGCTATATTAATACATTAAAGAAGTTGTTCAGCATAGATTGTGTCTACTTTGTCAACTTCTAAGAATTGGTTTATCAAACAATTCAGTCAGGCTATCTGGGTTTGATTTTCACTAACCATAAATAAGAGAAAGGGCTACCGCGCAGGTTGTTATTTTGCACACTGGATACAGTGACACACATTCAGCTTCATGTTAGTGAGTGTATGTGGTTTCACACACCAGCAATATTCAAGCTATATAACAGGACCTGTAAATAATCAATAACCGACAATCCACATGTCACTCAAAATGACACACAATCAGCTTCGTTACACTTAAGGGGCGGTCGGGTAGCCTAGTGGTTAAAGCGTTCGCTCGTCACGCCGACATGGGTACAATGTGTGAAGCCCATTTGTGGTGTCCCCCGCCATGATATTGCTGGAATAATGCTAAAAACGGCGTAAAACCATACTCACTCACTTGTTACACTTAACCAATCAATCCTGATCTTTGCTAAAAACTCATAAAACCTATTCAGCCCTGGAATACACACAAGATAGGTGGACAAAATAGCATGTATTTTTATTTACCTCAATCACATATTGATGACAAACAGTTATATGTCTATGAAAGCTTTATTCACAAAAAAAGCAATTGTGTTTCAGGAAACTATCATAATTTGCACATGTATATTTACGACCTGAATTTGAGCAATGCATAAGTGGACACATTGTAATGATTTCAGGCGATGAGCTGATCACATGCTTTCCTACAATAACATGCTTTCATGCATCCCACCACGTAAAGGAGTGTTTGATCACATGCTTTCATGCATCCCACCACGTAAAGGAGTGTTTGATCACATGCTTTCATGCATCCCACCACGTAAAGGAGTGTTTGATCACATGCTTTCATGCATCCCACCACGTAAAGGAGTGTTTGATCACCTGCTTTCATGCATCCCACCACGTAAAGGAGTGTTTGATCACATGCTTTCATGCATCCCACCACGTAAAGGAGTGTTTGATCACATGCTTTCATGCATCCCACCAGGTAAAGGAGTGTTTGATCACCTGCTTTCATGCATCCCACCACGTTAAGGTGTTTGATCACATGCTTTCATGCATCCCACCATGTAAAGGAGTGTTTGATCACATGCTTTCATGCATCCTACCACGTAAAGGAGTGTTTGATCACATGCTTTCATGCATCCCACCACGTAAAGGAGTGTTTGATCACATGCTTTCATGCATCCCACCACGTAAAGGAGTGTTTGATCACATGCTTTCATGCATCCCACCACGTAAAGGAGTGTTTGATCACATGCTTTCATGCATCCCACCACGTAAAGGAGTGTTTGATCACATGCTTTCATGCATTTGTTTTTTATTTAACGCCGCTCTCGGCAATGTTCCAGCCACATGGCAACGATCTGTAAGTAGTTGAGTCTGGATCGGGCAAACTAGTGATTGATACAATGACACACAATCAACCAAGTCACCAGGCCTGTCAACATGGTCCAACTATTTTTTCATATTTTACTAATTTGTTCTGGCCTTTTCTGTATCTTTGGTAATCCATGAACTGGATGCAGGGTGAGGTAAAATTTGGGTTTAATGCCACATTCAAGATTCTTCCACTTCTAAAACAACATGCATGCATGTACATTTATATGTGTCTTAGTGGCTGCTTGTAGTAGTCCGGACTAAAATACCGGTTTTATAGTACCAGCTCATGAGATACTATGTCACAATTTAATATGGGTACCCCACTTAGACACAAGTACTGACTCCAGGCTGACCAGTCCTTGTTTTATCCCATTAATGCTGAGCGCCAGGCAGGGTAACAACAAGTACCATCTTTTAAAAGTCTTTTGGTACAATGCGGCCGGGGTCGAGCCCACAACCTCCCTCTCTCTGGGCAGGTGCTCTATCTGCTAGACCACGGAGCTGGTAGGAAGACACACCTATGTACATCATAATGAGGGAGTCCACCTCATACACACAAGGACGGGGAACAATATAAATGTTTCGAATGTGTTCCAAAATCACTATCAAGTTATGTCAACAAGTCTTCTTGTTGAAAAAGGATTACAAAAATAACATTTTCACACAAAATATGCACCTGAGTGGTCATATGTGGTGAATTGGTCTCATTTATTTATTTGGTAAAAACAATATAGAAAATAACCTCAAGGTAAGGGGCACACTGTCTAGCTGTCTCCGAGCAGTGTATTAGGAACCAGATATATGACCTTTTGAAACAGTGTAACCGATCCAGTCATAGGTCACTGAACACAGTGAGCGATGCTGCACAGGCCTCCGAACACAGTGAGAGATCCTAGGTAAGGCCTCCGAACACAGTGAGAGATCCTACATAAGACCTAGGATCACAGTGAGAGATCCTACATCATGTACAAAAGACCTCCGAACTCACTGAGAGATCCCACATAAGGCCCCTGAACACATTGAGAGATCCTACATAAGAGCTCTGAACACACAGAGATCCTACATAAGACCTCCGAACACACAGAGATCCTACATAAGACCTCCGAACACACAGAGATCCTACATAAGGCCCCCGAACACAGTGAGAGATCCTACATAAGTGCTCTGAACACAGTGAGAGATCCTACATAAGAGCTCCGAACACAGTGAGAGATCCTACATAAGACCTCCCAGCAGTTGGAGTTGTGACATAGGACCTCCAACACAGTATTCATCGTTAAACAGGTATAATCATTATAATGGTGGGGCTATCTTGGTTCTATCATCAACACAGACAAGCAGCATGTCGCACATCATCAATCAGTAACAACCATTCTGACTCACATGACAGACAGCCACATCCTAAAGCATCAGCAGTCATAAGCATTTTGATTTTATTGTCCTCCATAGAGCACTATAAAAGTGACCCCTTTGGAGATAATTCATGGTCCCTGTTTGCAGAAAAAGCACCATAGTTTGGTCCCAGCCAGATTATCATCGGCCCGGTACTTTGTGCACAGCAGTCAACAAGGACTATGAACATGTGGAGCCCTGGCAGGGTAGTGCAGACCAGTCATGTCTGCTTGTAGTGATGTGTTCTCGCCTGCCATGTTTCTCTTCAGCAGCCATGTTTGTATGAGTGAGTGAGTGAGTTGGGTTTAACGCCGCTTTTAACAGTATTCCAGTTATATCGCGGCGTGTCAGCTTAATGTGGGAGGAAAGCCCGAAGTGATGCAGGTCTCAGACGTTTACCACTTCGGTGAAACCTACGAGCACGGGTATGGTGCTGACAAACCTAGAAACATAATTGGGGCGAACCGGGATTCGAACCCACAATCATAGGTTTCTGGCGTGCCCAAGGGACGCAACTCTGCACAGCAAATCGCGGCGCCTTAGACGACTGGGCCACCCGTGCCCCCCATGTTTGTATGAGAAAATGTCATGTTATAAATCTGACCATCATCTGGATGTCAAGGGAAACTTTGCTATCAAGAGTATTAACACAGAGGGACTGCCATAAACAATTCACATGAAGTCCATTGGCCAATTATGAGTGAGTGAGTATTGTCTTATGCCGCTTTAAGCAATATTCCAGCAATATCACGGCGTGGCACACCGGAAAATGGGCTTAACACGTTGTACCCATGTGGGGAATCAAACCCGGGTCTTCGGTGTGACGAGCCGATGGTCAATTATGAGATAAACATACTTTGAAACAACCAAGAAATGAGATTCATCTGTAATATTTGTAGAGTCATGTTATTTTTTTTTTATGTCAACTTGGGTGCCACTTTGACTGATGTGACATTATGTCAACGTCCACTTTCCGTCAGAAACACACAAAGTCATGTGATAGCATGACGATCATGGCAATCAGACATGAAATTTGAGACAATCATGGTGACAAGACATGAAACTTGAGATTCAACATAAGCCTCCAGTACACCATTATGACCGTGTAAGAATGTCTCAACCCATTGTCTTATGTTTACTGTTGGTCATCAATTAACTCCACACAGCTCTGTTCCACAAAACTCTGAATGATTGTCACAGCACTGGAAGGCACACCTTCCCTGTGAAGAGTTCGGAGATGATCGTGAAGAAGATGGCCATGATGAAGAGAACATATGATGATCCAACTTGCGTGTGATTGGGCAGCTTGTAGGGTTGGCCTCCGATCTCGTCGATATGGAAACCCACAGGGAACACAATGGCAGCAAGGCAAAACAAGGTCACTGAAAGTAAATGAAGAAATTGAGTACAATATTCAGCACTGCATCTAGGCAAGGGTAGACATAAATAAAAATATAAATTCTTAAAAATCACTAAATAGCAACAGGTACTGCTTGACAACATGGTCTTTGTGTGTGCAGCGTGTCATAAAAGAATACCAATTATTTTTAGAGATATGGTCCTGACAAAAAACACCATGAACAGAGTCAAAATCAAACTTGTTGCCATGGAAATGTAAAATAAAAAATTCTAAACATCCCTTAATTGCAAAAGGCAACAGTTGACAGCATAGTCTTTGTGTGTGCAAAGTTTCATGAAATAATGCCTATCAGTTTCAGAGATAAGGTCCGGACAAACACACCAATATGAACAGAGTGAAAGTAAACCTTTTTTAAATGGAATCGAAAAAAATAAAAATTCTAAAAATAGTAAAGGACACCACTTTATCCCCTGATTAATATATCTACAAAGTTTGGGTGAAAAACCTTGAATACTTTTTGAGCTCTGCTCCAGAAACAACACCTACCCAGGTTTCAGCTAAAAAGAAATTCTTCAAATTCCTAACAAAAGGCACCACTTCAGCCCCTGATTAATACATGTATTAAGTGTGGATGAAAAATCTTAGTTCTGCTCTGGAAATGACACCCACCTCCATTTCAGCTAAGTGTAACTTGTTTCCATGGAAACAGGGAAAAACTTTTTGGAAAAATTCCTAAATAGCAAAATTATGCTTAAATATTAGGGGTGATAGCAAGGTCAAGATATATGTATCTGACTACATATAGGTCACGATATGATATATATCGTGATATGCATATTTACATCAAATTTACACCTCTTTACTGTAAATATTTTTAGAGCAGGTTGAAAAGGAAAAGCTAGCTGCAGACACATGTTGAAATGGTTTGTAGAAGATATTTTAGTAGTGAACTTGGAATGCTAATTACAACACATTTTGTGATGTTTGACCAACTAAATTGGTGGGGTGTCATTAAACAAGTAGTAAGCAATATATTTTAGCAAGTGTATCGTCTTGTATCGTTACAGAAAAGGATATATTGTGTTTTTTATCATTGCATGAAAACTTACGAGGCACCAGTACACCAGTGTATCATTTCACCCCCACAAAATATGCCCAGCAAAAACTTACTTCCAATGAATGCCAGCCATCTTGAGTAGCGAACTGTTGCCCTCCGCCAGTGGGAGGCAAATAGAAGGGCACATGTGGCAGTCAGGCACAGAATCCCACCCACGATACAAATAAATGAGAACATCCACTCAGTTGATAGTCGGGGCGATGTGCAGATCTCCGGTCGGCCATGAATCATTTGACACTGTCGAGTGAGACCAAGTCTCATATTTCCTAAAAGTACAAAAAGAAAAGATTTGCTTGAAACACTTTGTCATGAATTGAGCAAATCTATATCACTGTATATTCTGTCCAAAAGAACAAAGAAACCTAACATTTATATGAAAATTATGCTCTCTATGGTGCAAGTGTATCTGATATATAAACTCTTTTACTTAAACAATCACCCCAGATAGTTGCTGATTTTGTTGAGGAATATTCACTAACTGAGGAAAAAAAAGAAGAAAGTTTGGCTGTTTGAATCATTGAAACATGTTTTAAAAAGGTTGAGCAAACTACCATTAATTGTGAGACTGAGTACAAACAGACAGACTTGACAGACTTTGCAGGTCATGTCTATTGACATTTCCATAACAAGAATTGTATTGTCATTTAACATCTACGTATCATTGTTTAACTTACCAGCAACACTGGTTACAATCCAATCAGGATTGGCGAGACTTCCAATTGCAAAGACATCAGCTGTGAAAAACAGTATCCCAGACAAAGCTGTCAGTTTGTCCATTATTCGCTCTAGGTCTCCGCACTAACGACAAACTGACAGACTCTGACGACTCTCGATCCGACCCTGATCTGTTTGAGTGTTTCTCTGTTCAATTCTAATCAGCTGATTCCACGCAGCTGAAATGGGCTACAGCCTGCTCCTCTTTAATTAATTACACACAAAATCGTCAATTTTAATTACGTCCATTCCCACACGTCATATATTTTGACATATGACCAATATCAACTAGCGTGAACTCGTTTTCCCGTCGTCTGAGATGAACAAAACAAAACGTCACTCACGGATCATAAGAAAACTTCAGTTCCGGTTATACGACCTTCACCTTACATGTCACATGTCCCGGATGTTTAGGAATAAATGGAGGACCATTTTCAGTGGGATATTGAGTAAAACGATTTAGCCCTTTTAATATGTACACATATTTCGACACTTATGAGTCGTAAAAGGACACTGTAAACGAAATTATTTTTTTTTCAAACACCAAGAGTTCTATGCAAGCCTCTACTCATTCGGAAAGAAACCTTTTACTAAAGTAATATGAGGACTACACGGGTGTATGGTCTAGGTACACGAAAACGTACCGGTGAGTTGAGGAGCTTGGGTTGATAGTATAAACTGATAAAGTGTGTCAGTTGTCACCGGTGGGTAACACGTTAAAAATAGGGTGACCTGCCCTACCATGAACATATGGGGATATCCGGTTCCTGTTTCAATCAGGTTATGTTCGTCTGCTGTGGCTCCTAAAGTTGAACTTGAGCTGAAAAATGGAGTGACGAAAATGGTCCAAGCAGGGGCTTTGTCGAAGCTCTTCTCGTATTCCAACCTCGTACACGCTGTTTCAGGTGCCGTGGTAAGTTGACATCTTCGTGTTTTGTTGTTTTTGACATCTTCGTGTTTTGATATTTTTACTATTATTCTGTTGAACCCCACCCGTCATCAGTCGGAATCCATATGCTTACATTATAAACCCTCGTGCTCAACTTATATCCTCTCCTTGGACCACCGCTGTTAGCATTACCTCAAGTATGTTCCATGATCAATTAAGAGTTTGTGTGAATTTTAAAGTTTATGCTCATGTATACCCATACATTGAAACAGTTCTGTATCATGTTTATTATTCTTGTTGGTTGATATAATATACAATACATTGTCTCCTTTTTTGATAAATGCTCAAATAAGTACTAACAGCTCATACACTTACATATTAATTAGGTCCGTATCAGTAACAGAAGTTCTCTAATAATTGTAAATTCATATTAATTTGACAGTTGTTCCACTACTATTAACATGGTACCCATATCCCTATTACCTGATCCAACCCGACCTAGGTACCCACTGTAGGTCTTGATTGATGGGTACAAAATGTCTGATTGGGAATTGTTTTCCCGCAGCCCTGGCAAAAACTAATGAGAAATATGTATCAAACGATCAGATCATGCGTACACTGAAGTCGACTGAAGCTTTGTCTCTACTGAAACATTTACAAGTCAAAAGGAATGCGAACATTAGCGACTTGTAGTGTAACTGAGCTATCGTGAGTTTTTATCATTAAACAGTATATCACGTGACTAACCACAGGTCCAGGTAGTGCTGTGGGTACCTGTTGTAAGATGTATTAACAATCTTATTTCGTTTATATGTAAATCACGTTTCGTCTAAAGTGCCAATGCCACTTTTGTACTAACTGTTTTTGGCGCTAGTAATAAAGCTAGTAATAAAAGCATGGCGACCATCGCCTATGAACCAAAACATGTCATCGTTTACCGTTCATCAAGCTTATAAACAAGCAACTATCATAACAGTACCCGGGTCCTATTCAGTACCGACCTGCGTACCCAAGTTACCCAGCTCTATTCACCTGCAAATAAGTTAAACATGTAAAACATGAGAGGTCACGGGTGGTCCAGTCGTCTAAGGTGCCGCGATTCGCTAGGCAGAGTTGCGTCCCTTAGGCATGCCATAAACCTATGATTGTTGGGTCGAATCCCGTGCTCGTTTCACCGAAGTGGTAAACGTCTGAGACCTGCATCACTTCAGGTTTACCTCCCACATTACGCTGACACGCCGTGATATAACTGGAATAATGTTAAAAGCGGCGTTTATCCCAACTCACTCACTCACTCACTCACTCACTCACTCACTCACTCACTCACTCACTCACTCACTTTAAAACATGAAATGTGGTGTAATCTTTTACCCCCAGTGTTATGATAGTTATAAGTATTATTAGAAGTCCTAATCTAGTGTATAAGTAGAACCCCAGTTGTGTTATTCAGATATACATGATATAGCCTTGACTGTTCCGGGTACCGGGTCTATATTACACCAGTCTGTGTGACTACCAATAGAAACCTGCCACGGAATAGTTTCACAGACCATTGAATTGCCTGTATAAATACAATGTTATACATTATATGTACATAAATTTGAATTACAAACCTTTAATATAAATAATAATCCATACTTTTCAATATGTATTTTGTGGAAAATGTATGAATTTTGAGAAAGTGTTAAAAATGTTAACACAACCAATGATGGTGCTGAGTCATGAAGGTAAAATGTTGGGGAGAATTGATTATACTATGACAGCATTTGGTATACTATTGACAAAGACACCTGTAGCATGTGTATAGCATGGGATTAAACTTTGATGTAATATCTTTGATTTCTGTTATATCCATGGTACTAACAATTACTATTATATATCACATTGTTGTAGACCAGGTAGATGAAATAAGGAATATTTTGGACTTGTTTAACATATTTATAGGTACATCCTAAAAATTTAACATGTTTAGTTTGACTGAACATTAAGGTGTTGTCCTAGGCCTGCATGATGTTAAGATTTACTGGGTCCATAGACATGAAAGAATTGCGTGAATTAAATACCATAGCAGCAAGCCTCAAGAATCCTAGCCCCTGCCCCCTATTGTGCTGTTGGTGGGTACTGATTGTGAGGTGATTTACAAACTGAAATGCAGAGGATAGAACAGGACTGAATTATGAAGTCAGTAAATGACCACACAAGTTTATGAATAAATTAACAAAAGCTAGTTTGGAACACACAGGGCTAGGTTTACAATGACACAAGGCAATATGATGGGTAGCAGGAGCAGTAAGTAGCAGACTCTATGATATGTTAACTAGTGTACTCATCAATGTCCAGAACTTGTACTGTCAAGTGTCTGAAAGATGCCTGTGCTCCAGAGTGTTCTTGGAAGCTGGCAGAAAATTTGGTGTTTTCAGACAGGTATCCAGTCCACATTTGTCAAGTAGATAAGATGTAAGTCAGGTCGTAAGAGGCCTTGAATCTCCACTGCACTGTTCTCATATCAGTATACCCATTCTTCTGGAATCTGGTCCATCTTGAAATGTCTCAAACGATCAAGTCCGGTGTGTTTGTCAATAACCAAGGGAGACAACTGTATGTCACACTTCTTTTACAGTCTGGCCACTGGAGCTCTCAAGATTTTAAACCATTTGCTGCCCTGCTCAATCACTACAAATAAACTTACATCATCTTCACTGCGACATAACAATAGTCTTCTTTTATCTTCAGGGAAGTGTGGTGGCTATAACTGTCTTCTTCCCCTTGGACACCGCTCGGACTCGACTTCAAAGTAGGTTATATGTGATATACTATATAGTTATTTCTATTAGTATTGTGTTTGTTTGTTGTTTAACGCCGCACTTAGCAATATTCCAGCTATATGATGGTGGTCTGTAGATGATCGAGTCTGGACCAGACAATCCAGTGATTGACATCATGAGCATCCATCCACGCAAATGGGATACGATGACATGCATGAACCAAGTCAGCGAGTCCCGTTAGTTGCCTTTACTACAAGCATAGTCACCTTTTACAGCAAGCATTGGTTGCTGAAGACTATTCTACCCTGGATCTGCACTGGTCTATTAGTATTGTGACCTGATCTTGGTAAACGTTTATCAGTTATAACAGTAATGTTCATACATATTTATTTGGCTCTGTATGCACCCCTGTGGCATCCTCATGATGCTAAATTATTACCCCGGTCAACGGATCTATGGTGCAACAAAAGCTGTGTGTTTAGTGCTGGAAGATTTTGCATTCATATAACCATCTCATGAAATCCAGGTTCCCACTTGTTGCTAGGTGACCATTAACCCAATGTTGTGTAGACATATCAGCATGTATGAGCTCAATATGCTTACGGCAGCTCCATGGTCTAGTGGTAGAGATTTTGCCAGGAGAGTGGAAGGTCCGGGGTTGGATCCCCGGCCGTGTCATACCAAAAGAAGTAAAAAGATGGTACTTGTTGCTACCCTGCCTGGCGCTCAGCATTAAGGGGCTAAAACAAGGACACACAAGAGTGGGGCTAAGAATCTATTTCCTGTTTCAGTCACAAGAAGTCCCTCCTAGTTTTAACTTTTACCCCAGTTTTAGCATGTTAGTTTGGATTTATGAAAATTAACATGCATTATCTCTTGTATTTGTAGTTGATGATCAGCGAGAGTCCAAGCACACGCCACAAGTGATAAGTGATATTGTGAAAGAAGAGGGACTGTAAGTTCTTAATACACTCTCCTGAACGAAAGCTATCCCTGTTATAAAGTGGTTTTAACTTCCCGATAATGGAAGTTCGCTCAAAAGCAGTCTCCTAACTGGAGTTCTAAGGACGTCTTCGTCCCACAACAATAAATTTCAACTAAAATGTTACACTGTTCAACGTAGTGGTCTGTCACATACAGAGCATGAAAAGAACAAGATTTACAAAAAAGAATATGCGCAAGTGGTATAGTGTTTGGGCGAGCACTTCCATGCTAATCAATGTGTGTATTTGGATGAGCTATACCAAACCAAACCCAGAACAACTGTTTCCTTCTGTTCAAATTACTTAAGGGGGCACAGGTGGCCTAGTCGTCTAAGGTGCCGCGATTCGCTGTGCAGAGTTACGTCTCTTGGGCACGCCAGCAACCTATGATTGTGGGTTTGAATCGGTTTGCCCCGATTATGTTTCTAGGTTTGTCAGCACCGTGCTCATGCTCGTGGGTTTCAATGAAGTGGTAAACGTCTGAGACCTGCATCACTTCGGGCTGTCGTCCCACATTAAGCTGATACACCGCGATATAACTGGAATACTGTGGAATACTCACTCACTCAAATTACCTAAATAAACTGCAGGCCGTAAGGACCTGCTGAAATCAGCCCAAGAGCAAATCTGTCGACCTTGGGCCTATAGACCGATGTCTATTTCGAACATTGCTTGTGCTCATGTGTGCTTATGGAGCTGTTCTGAATTATTAGGATAATTTGGACCTGATCATGCAGATTGTGTCAATTTCTGTGTGTATAATGAAAACAATAAATTTGTCCAGATTTTTGTAAGGATATATATAAGAGGTGGTTTGAGCTGTTGAGTAATTCATTTGTATCCATGTTCTGGCGTGTAGATTAGTTGTAGGATATTCTTCTTTTGCCTAGAGGTAATATGATAAAGGTTCTTTAATAAGAAATTCTGAACATAGTTGTGAAGGATCAGTGGGGTCAGTGAGAAGTTTATTTCTGCTTATCCTGCTCATTAGGGCTGTAACCATGGTAACGATTCACCGATACCTACGATGTCAGCGATACTTAGGCACAGATGATACTAATCTTGCCAGTTTCTGGAGTCTCAATACGTTATAAATAGAACACAAACTGATTGAGTTACCTCCCATAACAGTGGAAGTGGCACTGTAAGCGCCACCTGTAAACATGGAGGAACACAAGCACATGGTAGTCATATTGGATACACACTTAAGTCTTCAATTGGATGTATTTTGGGTTTGAAAAGTCCCCAAACAGAAAAAAAGGTATGCTGATTGTGTGAAGCAGTTATTTTAGTGATTTCATCGTGGTATCATCAGCCTGTACCATGATACGTAAAATTATTCACGAGATCTCAGGCGGTACTGCTTGTGCTATGTTTCAGCCATGGCATATACCGAGGGTGGTTCTCCGTCGTGTCTTCCCTGTGCCTGTCTAACTTTGTGTACTTCTACACATACAATGGCTTGAAGAGTGTTTTCATTGGACCAGGAGAGAAAGCTGCACCTAGCAAGGATCTACTCCTTGGCTTTGTGTCGGGTGAGTGAGTTTGGTTTTACACCGCTTGTTGCTATAGTCTCGTGGGGAACACTAGAAATTGGCTTCACACATTGTATCCATGTTGGGAACAAAACCTGCACCTTCAGCGTGTCGAGTGAATGCTTTAACCACAAGGCTACCCCACCGCTGTTTGTGTCAGGTGAAGTGAATATCATCATTGGAGAACATACTGCTTGTGCCTTCAAAGGAGTGGACAGAGACAGTGTGGTGATGGGACCTGAATGGGCTGTGACAGTATGGTGATGTGACCTGTGTTATATTTATTTCAGCAATTTTAATGTAAAATTCCTCATTTATGTTATATTTTACTGGTCAAAACTGTATGGTAATTGCCAATAAAAAAGCCCACTCATGTCACTGTAACTGTCATACCTTGTTAGGTGAGTCTCATGTAAGTCAATATCACTGGCAGAATGTACAAGGTCTATCACAGTAACTGTAAGACCCTTCAGCATGTTCAGTTGAGTTTCCGTTTGAAGTGGAAGTCTTTTTGACATCTCCCTTTTTGTTTGTCTGTCCTTTTTGACGGGATCTTATGTGACATAAAGGTAGCAAGTGCCCTTGTTACAAAACTATGGCTGAAATACTGCCGATGTGACTTCAAATTTGAACAAACTCACTCCCTCAACTCACTCAAGTTATCAAAGACATAAAACCAGCCATGACGTCAAATAGAATGGTGTTATTTTTTTGTATTTCATTACATTTGATGATAAGGCTAGTGTTCCATTAATGAGGGTGCAACATTAGTCAAATTACACTTACACATTCAGGAGAATGTTGGAATCTAAGGACTAAGTTATAGGTTAGATAGGGCCATCCATTTCTCTATCACCTTTTTTTGATGAAGTACGATTTCATCATTTCGTATGGGTTTTTTTAATAACTAAACGTATACAGTTTCAATATCGATATTTGTGTTGGAATAGTTTGGTTCCTCGTGAACAAAACACCACAAAAATATATTGTCCTCACCCACAGCTAATTCTGACCAAGTGACCTGAGTTACAATAAACAAGTACTAAGCATAGCGGAGTTATTCCCCCTTTTCTTTGTACGTGTGTAACCTCTTTGTCGCCTTTTGACGTCATAGAGAAAAATCAGTTTTCGTCATTTACGGCATGCTATTTTGGCATACGCATATAACTCCATTTGATATATAGTTATGTCGTTCAGATATTAGGCAGTATTTTGTTTGCTCACAGTTTCTGTAAAGCTTCTAAATAAAAAATATCGTCGCCCAGTACTTTTGTCGGTGTACGATATAAAGCGGAGAAATTTACTGTCAACGCAGAATAAATTCTTGGACAACACTTAGATGTGTCTTTTTTTAAAACCGGTTTAATATTTGCAGTAAAATTTACACCATCAAATAGGAAATTTAACATTCTCCACCTCTGTGTAATTTTAAAGCCAGAGGTAGATCCAGTGGCGCGTGAGTGCAATTCTTGCACAACCTTCACTATTCAGATCTTTGGAAAAAGTGCGTCAGAAAAAAAAATCTCGGCATCCAGAGGTTTAAGACTGAAGGGGAAAGATTGATCTACAGCATGGAGTAGAAGGTCACAAGCATAAGATTCCCAGCACTAATCAGAGTAAATTGAAGAATATTATTACAATAAACTTAAATATTAAATCTTTGAAAGGCATTTAGAAGTGATAAACATAAGCATGATAAGGAAGAGAATTTATTGATGTCAACTTCTTTCTTAAGAGGAATATAATGTTTCAGAGTATATACTTACTCCTTCATCAGGTGTATCACATACTTCATCATTTACCTGATGAAGGAGTAAGCATATACTCTATAATGTTGTGTTCCTCATAGTAAAGAAGTTGCCATCCATAAATCTTCTTCCTTAAGTTATATCGTAGATTTTATGTGTATTTATATAGTGTATCTTTTTGTGTTTCAGGAATTGTGAATGTTTTAGCGACGACTCCCCTGTGGGTTGTCAACACACGTATAAAGCTTCAGGGGGCCAAACTCCACACCAAGAAGTACGAGGAGCACACAACACAGCACTACAAGGGCATCTGGGGTAAGTGCCGGGGCTGTAGTGACAAAGCCGTCTCCAACACATTGTGGAAAATCCGGGGTACAATGGTACCCAAGGATTGTCTTATGAGCTCAGTAAAACATAGGATCAGCATGATCAGGTGGTAATAATATTGTTGGCTATAATGAACAGTACAGTACATTACAAGCATATATCATAGTTTATAAAATAAAACATCTACTGTTAGTGAGGAGAGGTCAGGTAGCCTAGTGGTTAAAGCATTAGCTCACACCGAGGACCCGGATTCGATTCCCGACATGGGTACAATGTGTGAAGCCCATTTCTGGTGTCCCCTGCCGTGATATTGCTTGAATATTGCTAAAAGCGGCGTAAAACCATACTCACTCACTCTACTGTTAGCTTCTTTACAAATCAATAATTGGTGATCATTGTGACAAAAATGCTTGCAATAATTTAGAAAGGCTAAATAGCAATTATTACACATCCGGGTAAGTCCATCAGCAATGGACATGAGGACCATTTATGTTTCACGGTGAGCCAGTTACCATGGTTACAGTTCTGCAAACAGTTCCACTGTGTATGAGCTCTTTGTATAATAAGTCATACACCCTGACATTGTACTTATTGTGTGTTTGTAGGGTAGCACAGGTGGTCCATCATCTGCCTGAGGCAAGAGAGTTAACTGACTATAAAAGTCCAATTTCCTCCCTTGCCGAACTAGGCTGGAATTTTGGAGTTATATTTTTGCTGGACTAACAAGACTATGCATAGTCCAATCAAAATCAAGTTACGAAATCAACATCCGTTTTGTGAACTGCCATGACGATTTCGGTCAACCGCAGGTTTTGCAAAGCATGTGTACTGTCAGTATATATATATTCCAAACCTTTTCATGTTTTATATCAAAGTGCTCACCTGATTTGATGCTCTTCGCGAAGTAAGACCCATTTAATTACAATAAAGAACTTGATTATTGATCAGATCGTCTTGACTGGATGCCGCCATCATGTTTGAAGCAAATACAAGTGATATGAGGTGGAATCTGATTGGTCAAAAGGAGGGACATAAAAGGGACATAACTTGTAATAGCCACTGATGGCGCTTTTATTGAGCCCAGGAATCCCAGCCTAGTTCCGCAAGGGTGGAAACTGGACTTTTAAAGTCAGTTAACTCCCTTGCCTCAGGAAGATGGTGGTCCATTGGCTAGTCTGTAGTAAGCTGCTGTGCAGAGTTGCATTGTTTAGCTGCCAGACTTTGTTCACGATTATTCCTGCTTTTCAGTTGAAAGTCTAGGGTTTTGTCAAAGTGGTGATGGTATACCCCCTGTTAGGGCTGGCTAAAAATATAGATAACTGGAATTATCGTCGATGGGAAGACATAATAACAATTATCGGTATGAAATTGTTGTCATCTAAAATAATAACATAACTATTGTAATGAAATAAATTTTAGGTGTACCGAAACTGACTTGTTATTGTCAATAATGTCAGTTATCAAAGATGAAAAGCAACAGTTTTTGTTATATCTCAAATGTCCACAAAGTAATCTATGCATAAATGTGTCACTGCTCACCAAATATGTTGATTTCTTTCGGGACTTTCTTGCGTATATGGTTAAAGTTACTTCTTTGATATTTATCCATAATTAATCGATATTTAGTGATTATCAATCTCTATAATCTATATCAATAGCCAGCCCTACCCACTGTCTTACTTTTAAATTGCCACTCCCTTTAGTATGACACCATGATATCACTGAAATACTGTTCAGGATCACTTGTTTATTTGTAGACTGCCTGACAAAGATTGTGAAGACTGAGGGTGTGTCGGGACTGTGGAATGGCACGACGCCCTCATTGTTACTGGCTTCCAACCCAGCTATACAGTTCATGGTGTATGAGTTCGTCAAGCGATACTTCCAGAAGCTCTTCAAAACACCTGTAAGTTGTCTGTGAGAGGTGGTCGGCTGTAAAAAATATGATGTTTCTTCTGGCTTTTGAAATATTCAGCTGTCTAGAGCGAAAGGAGGTCGAGTGTGGGGTAATAGTTTGTAGATGAAATCATCCCAACAGAGATATTGTACATGTGACAGGGGTATCAGTGAGGGAATGTTGTTAGTCAGCTTTACTCCAGGTTTATCATGCTGGCCTGTAAAATGTCAGGCCAGTTGAACCGGTGGTTGATGTGATGAACACTTGGGTACCATGACCATCAATCAGCCAAGTTAAAGAGTCTGACCATCTGATTGAAATTACATGTAGAAACTCCAGGAAATGGTTTCAGAGGGCATTGAGTACTTTTTTATGAGGGCTGGTGGGGAATCCTGGTGGTTAAAGTGCTTGCTTGCTTGTCATGCAAGGTCAGGGGCGGTCGGGTAGCCGAGTGTTTAAAGCGTTTGCTCGTCATGCCGAAGACCCGGGTTCGATTCCCGACATGGGTACAATGTGTGAAGCTTATTTCTGTGTCCCCCGCCGTGATATTGCTGGAATATTGCTAAAAGCGGCGTAAAACCAAACTCACTCACTCACTCACTCATGCAAGGTCAGGGTTCATTTTCAAACATGGGTACAATGTGTAAAGTTTATTTCTGATGTACCCGTGTTGATATTGCTGGAATATTCATACAGGTGGCATAAAACCCCACTCACCCAACATCTTTTCAGAAACAACTTACAAATTCCATTTATGCCTTTGTCCTATTATTCATATTTGGACAATGAAAATGTATTGAAGTTGTGTTGCTATGGTTACAGGAGCTGAGTGGTTTCCTGTACTTTTTGATTGGAGCGATAGCGAAAGCAGCAGCCACAGTTTTCACCTACCCTCTGCAGGTGATCCAGTCACGCCTCAGGGTAAGATCTCCGCCTTGGGGTAAGACCTTAGTCTCAGGGTAAGATCTCAGTCTTGGGGTAAGACCTTAGTCTCAGGGTAAGATCTCAGTCTCAGGGTATGATCTCAGTCTTGGGGTAAGATACTTGTCTCGGGGTAATATCTCAGTTTTGGGGCAAGATTCAGTCCTTGGGTATGATCTCAGCCTCGGGGTAATATCTCAGCCTCCATGAAAGATCTCAGTCTCAAGTTTTCAATCTCTAGGTTAAGTTTTCTGTTGTGCAGTAATCTGTCCCTCTCTGGGTGAGCCATCAATGTCTCTGTAAGTTCTAACTCCTCACCAGTCTGATCAACCAACTAGATATCTTCATGTTTACGCTTTAGCAAATCCCAGCTCTGTTACAGATGGAGTGTTTGAATTAAAGTGTAACAACAATAGTAACAGATATCAGTTGTAAACATGTCAATGTTTTGTAACACAGACAGGTAAATCTAGAAGTTGTTTCTACCTACAGGCTGGATTTTGCAAGCTGGAATCCACACAGTCTATTCTCCAAAACCTTCATCATCTCGTCAGGTATGTGGAGATATGGTGATAAACAGCACTTTTATATCATCTGCCCTACAAATATACTTATACTCAGTTAAGGAAGTCTGCCTTTGTAAGTTTGTATTCACAGTGCAACTCTTAACTGTCCTAACAATGATGTAATCTGACATTATTCTTTGTCGGATGCACTAAGCAGTATTCCTGCTATATGACAGCAGACTGTAAACAATAGAGTACGATCAGACAATCCTGTGATTGATGTTATGATCAACAATCCATGCTGTCAGGGTACCAAGTGTTCAAGCCTGACCACCGGATCCATTTAGTCACCTTCTATGACAAGCATGGCTGCTGGCGACCGGTATGAAGCAGAGTAACTGAAATCAAGGATTAACAGTTAATTGTCAAAGACACAGCGTTTTATCTATCAACTAATAAGCAAATTAACTCCTACTTGCCCACATACAGCTTATAACAAATGTAAATGGGAGTTCTTTAAAGTATTATGCATATTGTCATCCATTTACCATATTTGCTGAAACATTAGCGTGATTAGTAATGTTTTATTTTTGAATTAGGTTTTGTCCTTTTGCAGTCAAGCATTTAGAAACAACTCTTCTGTGTAGCTTTAAATATAAATCATCAATGGTTTGAGAGGAGTTCCCCCATGAATATCCGAGTTGAAATTGTTTTTCAGCATTCTATGCTTGTGAGAGGCAGCTAGTGGGTTTGGGTGGTCAGACTCGCTGACTTGGTTGTTCCATGTCATTGTATCCAAATCACGTAGATCAATGCTCAGTATGTCAATCAATGAATTGTCTGGTCCAGAATCGATTATTTACAGACTGCCGCCATATAGTTGACTCATGTTGAACAATAAACAAAAAAAACACAGGAATTACTTCCCTTTCCAATCACCCCTACAGTATGCATGGAATTGTTTTGTGAGCCACAATATTATATTTTTTGGCAGCAGAAAATACCCCATGTTTGATCACAGCAAATGAAGCTGGCATTTGCCTGAGTTTCACAAGGATATTAACCTGGGTTACTTGTGAATTGCAAACCCATTTATCAAAGAGGGGCCTGTATGGGCCCAGTCATCTTGGTTGACGCAATTTTATGTGCAGAGTTGCGTCCCTTAGGCTTGCCAGAAATGTATGGTCATTTGTTCGAATCCCCATTCGACCTGATTATGTTTAGTGATAAACATCTAAGACCTACATCACTTCAGGCTTTCACATCACGTGATATTACTGAAATACAGTTCGAAGTAGTGCTAAACCGAACTCCCGCACTCATTTAGGAAAGGCGACTATGTTTGTCGTAAGAGGCGACTGACGGGATCGGGTGGTCAAGGCTTGCTGACTTGGTTGATGCATGTCATCGATCCGAATTGTGTGGATAGATGTTCATGATGTCAATCACTGGATTGTCTGGTCCAGACTCGATTATTTACAGATCACTGTCATATAGCTGGAATATTGCTAGGTGCGGCGTTAAACAACAAACAAACAAAACAAACAAAACTTTAGGAAAGTATGTGTTGTAGTTATAAGAAACCAGCTTTGTTGTGTTCCAGGACTCAGGGTATTCAGGCGTTGTACAAGGGGATGGAGACCAAGTTGGTACAGACGGTGCTCACAGCAGCTCTCATGTTCCTCACTTACGAGAAAATAGCAGCTTTTATATTCCGCCTAATGGGCATGGCTCCAACCATGCCGAAAAGATGATGACGTCGGACCTTAGCAAACAACACAACTTTAGTGGATTGATTTGCCATATACTGTTCTTATTATACAGAATTTTATTCCATTTTACTAATCTGTTTATATATTTTAGATGAATTAACATTAAATAATTATTTAGCTCATATTTGTGGACTTGGTTCAAGTATTTTAAGGAGAAGGTTTAATTCATGTTTGCCGATTTCCACTTCTACCTCTGAAGCAAAGAGTTTTGAGTCCTTCCCAACATTTCTGGGCCAATTGTCAGCATACTGATTAAATTGGCACTGAAGGACAGACTTTGATTCCTTGTTTTATGGTAAACCTGCTTATACATGTTTTTGAAGGTTTTAACCAAAAATTAAACAAAAATATGTCTAAATTGTTTTAAAGCAAATGCAAGTGATACGAGAGGTGGAATCTGATTGGTTCATAGGAGAGGCATAGAAGGGACCTGACGCGTAACAGCCACATGTGGCGCTATGATCGAGCCCGGGAATTCCAGCCTAGTTCGGCAAGGGTGGAAACTGGACTTTTAAAGTCAATTAACTCTCTTGCCTCGGGAAGATGACAGATGACATCCTTACCTTGTCAGCTAGCTGATGGGGTTAATCTCTTTGGTCATATGGACAAGGTGTCCAACTCGGATCAGGAGGTGGTCGCTTCACTCAGTTTGCTGGATCAGGCAGTGGAACAGTAACCAATATTTAGGGTGTAAAACCATTTGATGAGCAGAACCCACTTGCACAAAGCAGACTTAGCGCTATCACTGCTTTAACTTCCATACTTTAACAACCCACCTGTAGTGTGTGAGGACAAGGGATAGAGGTTGTTGATCATGAACACTTTTGAATGTGTCTAACAATAATTTCTCAAATGTTGAAGTGTTGAACATATCATTACTGTTTATAACAGACTTATTTATTGTCCCATTGTTTACAGTGTTCCGGAGTACTATTTCTTGCCATTGTGTGTGCGCAACATGTCATTGATCTCAGGTAGGTCAGTCATCCTTGTGTGATGCATATTGGATGTGTAAAGTTAAGAAACTTGAGAACTCTCCAAATCCCCTAAATATTTTACAGTATTGAAATGTGAAATGGGAGGTTTATCTTGTCAAAATGTTAAACATCTTAAATTCCACATTTATAAATAAATAAATACCAAACTGACGAGGATGGAGTAAATAATATATGTGCTGTACAGCATTGTGAAGAATATAACATACCGTATTCGACGTTATTACCGCCCAGGGCGCTCTCAAAATTAGAAATAGGGGGCTCTTATTGGAATATTATTTTGGTGGAAAAAACAGAGTTGAAAGATACATTTCGTGGTTTATGCTGACGGCCTGAACTGTTTATATACGAGAAATATATTTTTCCAGAATTTAATTGCCCATAATTAATGGTGCATATAACACACGAGTGCGTATTATACACGAATAAATAAGTCTTGTGTACATTGATCAATCGGAAGGAATGCTAATTGGGATTGTTCACTTGCCAATATATTAGCCAATATCGCAGTGGGCGCTTATTAGAGCGGGGCGCTTATTACGTCGAATACGGTAATTCTAATCCACTGATGAAATTAGATGCCACAGTAGAATGAATTATATTGGTCCTGATGTCAGTATAGTTATATATACTATTCCACTGAGATGTGAGTTATAACATAGAAATCATCCATGTAGGTTTCCTATAGCTTTACACCCACTGATGAACTTTTGACCATCAGTAAATATGACTCTTGTATACATGTATAATTGTGTTAGTTTTTCTTCACTGTAACTGCTCTGTATATACTGTATTTCCTCTATTAGACGCCTGGTCTCCAATACACGTCAGCCTATAATTGATGCTGGGTCATATGCTCTTTCCAAAAGTTAGATTGTTTGTTTGTTTGTTTGTTTGTTTGTTGTTTAACGGTTCACTCAACATATCCCAGCTATATGAGGGTGGTTAGTAAATAATCAAGTCTGGACCAGACAATTCAGTAATTGTCATCATGAGCATCGTTCCACGCAATTGGGATACGATGACATGCATCAACCAAGTCAGCGAGCTTGACCACCCATCTCTTTTGTCGCCTCTCACAACAAGCACAGTTGCCTTTTACTTCAAGTATGGGTGTCTGAAGACCTATTCAACCCTGGATCTTCATGGGTCCCATAACTTAGAAGCTGTATTAGATATTAGGTGAATTATAATGACCATTTCCTGTGGGTCAACACCTTGCATGAAAGTAATAGACACCAGGGCATTTAATAGAGGAAATGCAGTACCACTAATGTTTCTGCTGCAAGACCATCCACCTGTAGTCTAGTGACATTTACATGGTACTCAGTACCCCGTACTCATGTCGAGAGTCCTGTATCCCTCAGAAGTACTTTATATGGTACATGGTGCTCAAAACAACATCGGAGAACTGTACATCAATCTTATTCATCCTCAGTTATCTGGTACATAATTATATCTCCTTTCACTAATAATGATAAACAGCTTGTACCCATTCACCGCCATAGTTTTGCTTGAGAAGTGGCATCGTGAGATCCATGTTTCTTATCACCAAATTAGCACACAACTTCTTTCGCTCATGAGCGTAATCTGATTGGGAGGCTGTTTTTAAAGTTGTTACATTCAATATATGCTCAATACAAAGCCATGGTGTTGAATGGGTGGTGAGAGTAGTCTGATTGGAAGGCTGTTTTTAGAGTTGTTACATTCAATATATGCTCAATACAAAGCCAAAGAATGGGTACTGGGTAGGTATGTTATAGAATTGAGATATAACATACTGGGTTATAGAGGATGCTGTCTTGTTCTGATATTTACCTGTTACATGTATCCTGGATCTGACCAGTATCTCATGTCTATTTATGATCAATATCAATAAAGTTTTAGTTTTACAGAGATCACTTTCCAGTCATGTCTTTTTTAGGTCACAAGGACCTTTTTTTTACAATTATGAAAAAGATCTTAAGGAACTTCTTCTTAGAAACCAGGTTGTCTATGAATCTGAGACGTTGACATGATGTGTAGCAACACAATCACATTCAGGTTTGTTCATTCCTTTTGAGTAAAAACTTGACTTTTGTAAAATATATTTAGTACAAACTGACTCTTTAAAAATCTTTAAGAAATAACGCCCAGAGAGCTGTGAGGGACCTTCATCAGACTAGTTTTTGTGGCATGGAATTGAAAAATGTAATTATTTTTCTGTCATCAAGATTGAAACGACAACTTCTTCAATGGTGGAATTAATTTGCTAAGCATAATTTTTTACAGTCCAATCGTGTTAGGGGCCTGTAGGATATGTTGACTGCATTGGAACTACTTGGTGTTTTGATAGAAAATCGTGCATCATAAATATATTCTCAGAAACCACTTGACTAATAAAGCTGAACTTAATATACTTGTTCCCACCAATGGTGACACCTGAATTTGCTGAAGAGATTTGAATCAGAATTTCAGTATGGCTGCCGTGGCTACTTATGGCCATTTTGAAATGAAACGCATTTTTACATAATGAGACCATCTCATCCACGAAGTTTTTGGAAAGAAGATTTACAAATAGATAATGAAATCCAATTTGATTCCTGGAACCAAAAGTAAGATACATCCACGCAAAATTTTAGCTGGATCCATCAAGCCATTTCGGAGATTATGGACGACGACGACGGACAGACGGTTTGCGAGATTTCAGGCCAAATGAACTAAAATGAAATTGTTGCTATCATTTTTGAAACTGGATTAAGCTATAGTATTTAGAAACAGAATCATATGTACGTAGGTAATGTTATTTCCACTTACGGAACAACGGATCCACACGCACATTCTTCACAAAAGAAGCTGCTCATCATCTCGTCAGGTGTCGGATCCTATCAAGGCTTGATTATTGTTACACTGGTTGTCCATCTGAGGAAGAATTCAATATGAGATCTTGACTATCGCCTACAGATGTGTGAAAGCCATTGCCCCATCATATCTTACCGATCTCATCACACCATCTGCACCAACCAGACAGTTACAAAAAGGGGGCACGGGTGGCCCAGTCGTCTAAGGCGCCACGATACGCTGTGCAGAGTCGCGTCCCTTGGGCACGCCAGAATCCTATGATTGTGATTGGTTCGAATCCCGGTACGCCCCGATTATGTTTCTAGGTTTATCAGCACCATACCCTTGCTCGTGGGTTTCACCGAAGTGGTAGACGTCTGAGACCTACATACTTGCCGTAAAAGGCGACTATGCTTGTCGTAAAAGGCGACTAACGGGATCGGGCGGACAGGTTCGCCTACTTGGTTGATACATGTCATCGATTCCAATTTCGTGGATCGATGCTCATGATGTCAATCACTGGATTGTCTGGTCCAGACTCGATTATTTACAGACCGCCGTTATATAGCTGGAATATTGCTGAGTGCGGCGTTAAACAACAAACAAACCAACCAACCAACTACATCACTTCGGGCTTTCCTCCCACATTAAGCTGACACGCCGTGATATAACTAGAAGACTGTTCAAAGCGGCGTTAAACCCAACTCACTCACTCACTCACTCAGTTACGAAGACTGACAGTTCCAAGAATCCAAAAGTTTCTTTCTTACTATGCAGTAGTACTTTGGAACAAATTGCCACTGGATCTCAAGACATCACCCTCTCTACTTGATTTAAAATCTGGACTGAAGACACACCACATATCAGTGACTTTCAATTACACCACAGAACTATATATATGTATATGTATATTATTATTTACAGATTAAAATAAATAAATGCAGCAAAGAGGGTTTGGGTGATCCTGGCACAGTCAGGCTCGTTAGGCTCATCATCAGCTCAGGGCCCTTGCCCCCTCTACACGCAGCTAGGACAACGAAAGGGATTTCTCCAAGGAAGCGCTGCCTAGGCGCACCCACCCAGAACTGTTCGAAGAATATGAAGACTCCCCAACGCTGCATCCTTTTGCATTACCCAGATTTTCAGAAGGGCTGTATACCTGGTAGCAACCCGGTCACTCTCCCAATGTCAGTCAACACATTGGGAGGTACCAAACCTAAGGCACCGAGAACAATGGGAAGTCGGACAACTTGGTACTTGGGATGCAAGCTTCACTTTTCGAAAGCGAGGTCCGCATATAACCATGTCCCCCCCAAAAAAAGAAGGGACAGAAAATTCGATGTTATAAATGATTTCATTGGATTTATAAAAAAATGACAAGATCAGGTTTGCTGGCCTGGATAGGTCTGAGACCGTATAAGGCCCTATTCCAAAGAATTTTGTATTGATAATTTTCCATGACACCCTCTATATATTCTGGGTCGTACCATGGATGGACCTCTGTGTCAAAACCACAAGCATGGCGAAGGCGGTAATAAGCGATCGAGCCACTCCAACATGTCGCTTAAGATGTTGTGTTTGTGCCAAAGCTGGGCATCCACTGACAATGTTTTGGACAGTCTCATAATATTCATTGTATATTCTTCATTTCATATTTACATTTTGATGCAAAATCACACATTGACGGTTTCGAGTGGGAAGGGACTGGTCCTTAACGGCACACAGAAAGCTTTCTGTTTCACTTTTCAGGCCAGTCGACTTCATCTAAGCAAAGGAGTCTTCTCAACACACTGTACATAAACTCAATGCAGTGGTCGTTCAGATAGCCTCTGCTTGAATAATCGGGCCGATATGTCACTCAATTCTGTACCCTCCAGAAGTACCGAACCATCAACAAAATCAACACTGACATTGAGATATGTGCCACATCCTAAGCTCGTTTACGGAAACTGTGGAATGCCTTGTTTTCTTCATAAGTCTTGACATGCTTCACAAAATTATTGTTATTTTAGATATTTATATAAAACGTTCACCCACAAGACCTCAATGATTGGCATAAAAGCTTAATCGGCACCAAATATAGTATTTGTGTCACGGAAAGTAACTGTTTACTGACTGTAAACCAATTCACAAAAGGAAATACCACATAAAAGCCCAGTTATAGCGTTTATGTACTTTATTTTAGTTGAAGGACATTCACGTTTAAAATCTGTTTGAGTTTGTAAGTTGACATCAGTATAGTGAAGTCCTCAGCCGAAGATGGACCCAGTGTTTGTAGTGGGGCCGACCTGGAAAGGATAACAATGATAGACTTGATGCTTCGTCGAATGTACGAGGCAAATATTACACGAAGGATCATGCCAGAGAAGAGATGCTATTTAACCAGCTGCTTTGATTTCGCCCGTCTTTTTACAATGTTCTGTTTAATGAGGCGTCCGCCAACCGATAGACTGGATACGATTTACCGACCATGTTCGCTAGTATCCATTCCTACTTTAGTCTGCGATTGTGGCCATCATGTCCAAGCCACAGACTGCCCAATGGGATGGCCCAGTTGTAAATGGCCTGGAATTCGCTGTGTAGCGCTGCGTCCCTTGGCCGTGGTCGTGGTTTCGAATCCCAAATTCGCTGTGCTTATTATAACTGGTCAGTCAGAACCATACCATTGGTTCGTACAGTAGTACACGTCTACAGCCTGCCACAACGTGAGGCAACTGAACTAATATTGAAAACAACTCGCTCATAACCTCTATCAAATGTGAGCTGAAGAAAGAAAAATGCAGAGAGAAATTGGCAAAAGGGCAACGGTAAATAAACGTGTACCCATTGCTTTGACAGAGCTATTGTTGCAGGCCGGGGAAAGGTGAGGTGAAATTGGGTTTAACGTCGCGCCCAAGATTATTGCACTTATATAGTTACGTGCATGCACGTGTGTGTGTGGCTGCTTGTACTAGTCCGGACTGATGCCGATTATAGTGCTAGCCCACTGAGATACCATGCCGCGGTTTAACATGACACAGACACAGACACACTCAGACACAGGATACTGACTCCGAGCCGACCAGTCCTTGTTTTAGCCCCTTAATACCGAGCACCAGACAGGGTAACAACAAGTACTATCTTTTAACGTCTTTTGGTATGACGCGGCAGGGATCGAACCCCGGACCTTCCGCTCTCCGGGCGGACGCTCTACCACTAGACCACGGAGGCGGTCGGCAGGGGAAAAACTGAATTCAGAAACATTCTCTAATGTCATGGCTTATGTCATATTAATGCGATATAACTGCAATCCCAATGAGTGCAGCGTTAAACCCAACTCAAACAAAATCTGTCAGCGCACAGAAAGAAATTGACACCGATGACTACATTGATTTAAACGTGCTCGTATTTACCACTAGCGGGGCTTTGCTGCAGGCGTTGGGAACGTTGAAGACTGTAGCGTCTTTTATGCCGTTGCTGATGTCGTAGAAACGGTTTGAGATAAGGTAATAGTCTGAAACATTGCTTTAATTGTTACGAGGTGTATCGCATATATTATTTACAAGGACATTTCTCACATCTATTCCCCAGAACACGTCATGTTAAGTTTAGTTGATCTGGTAAAATACTACGCTTATCTCTTCATGTTATGTCCCGCAACAGATATTTTAAAGATGTGACGTTACGAGAGTACCCGACCGCGACAACACGATTCTGCAAGGTTACAACTGCAATGCCTTCCTTCTAGGTACACAGCTACACACTAATCTCCTCGGGTACCTCTGCAACACACTCCTACCAGAATACCCGCACCGATATATCACGACTCTGCTCGGGCACCACTACAATGCTATCTTTCCAGGGTATCCGCAATGCTACAACCTTGCTCTGCACCGTTACACCCGATACCATACCCGATTTAGATACTTCATTTAGGACTATGCATGATGACATGCATCAACCAAGTCAGCGAGCCTGACCACCCGATCCCGTTAGTCGCCTCTTACGACAAGCATATTTGCCGTTTACGGCAAGCATGGTTTGCTGAAGACCTATTCTACCCCGGATCTTCACGGGTCAAATGCCAAATCAAATCCAACGG